ATACTTTGAAGAGCCCACTTTGCTGCCATCACATCAGCAGGTCTTTTCAGGTATGACTCTACTTTGCACTTTTAGAGACTGAAAGTTTTTGCCCGTTTGTCTGCACAAGACAAACTGTCAGATTAGATGGAGAGCGTTTGTGAACAGTTTTCAGGTCTTTCCAAAGATTCTCAATTGGATTTAGGTCTGGACTTTGCCTGGCCATTCCAACAATTCTAATTTAATAGATTATCTTTTTTTAAACCATTTTCTTGTTGCTCTGGTTTTATGTTCAGGGTTTTTGTCCTACTGAAAGGTAAATCTCCTCACCAGCCTCAATTTGTTTGACTCCAGCAAGTGTTCTATAAAATTGCCTTCTATTTGACTCCATCCATATTCCAATCAGTTTTTACAATCATCCCTGTCCCTGTTGAAGAAAAGCAGCCCCACAGTAAAATGCTGCCACTACCTTCTTTTACAACGAGTGCACTGAGGATAATGAGAAGTGTCAGTTTTGAGCCGTTCGTTAAGTTAGATTTTGGTCTCATCTGCCCACATCATCTTCTTCCACATGCTGGCAGTTTTTTAGGAATACTTATAGATTTCATTTTGTCTTGCCTCTTGTGCATATTGGCCAGATTTGTGTAGTGTATGATTAATATTGTACAGATTCCCCTCCAGCTCAGCTCATTCAGAGTCAACTTGTTGCAGGGAAACAAATGCATTTCTGATCAGCGCTCTCCATTTTTGGCTTGTGAGTTTAGGTGGGCGGCCATGTTTTGGTATTTTTGTAGTGTTTCGATACTCATTTGGATTCTTTAAACATCTCCACAACTTCCTCTCTGACCTCTTTGACGTTTTTTAGTGAGCGATACTAAGCATAGTAGCAATGGGGCCATCACAAAACTGGTGGAATGCCTCTTACTGGCAAATATTGTGGTGATTTGTGATGAAAATTAAGGCCTGTGGTTTTTTTTTTTCTAAGTGGGACAACTTGCTAGCCAGAATCACACAACTTTAAAATATTGATCAAGCGAATGTCAATTGCATTTTAACGCTAATTCATTTTTCAGTGCAAGGGTAACAACTTGCACAATCTGTAACTGCCTTTTTTAGATAAGAGTTCCTTTATTCGTCCCACAGTGGGGAAATTTTGATGTTGCAGCGCACAGACAGGACAGTAGTAAGAGCACACAGGGAGCACACAAAATATACAAAAAAGTAGTAGTTATATTACTTAACTATCTGTAAATGCTGTAAATGCTTCGATACCAGTCTTTCCAAATAAAATATACGTATATGTAGTAGTGCAGAGTTATATACTGTACATATAGTGCAGGATAAGAAGTATATAAAGTAAATTGACATTGTTCAGTGACATTCTGAAGGAGCAGTATTGCACATTGCACATGATTTAGTATTTACTTATAACCAGATGGATGACATTTGCAGACTCAGCAGTTCTTATTGTGCAGTCTGACAGCAGCAGGAAGGAAAGACCTACGGAACCTCTCCTTCACACAGCGAGGGTGAATTTTAGCCCCACTGTTACTGTTATATAAGTTAGTCTGACAGCAATATATGACCTTAATCAACAGTTTAAAATGTTTGTTCGCTTTCTTGAAACATAATTACTGAACATGTTAGAAGCCAAATTAATAGAAATACAATGTAAAGCAAAAATTTAGTCAAATACTCATCTAAAGAACAGACCACAGCAGTTTGTATTACAAGAATATCCACAATCATTTCAAATTAGAAAACTACTGTTATGCCATGACAGAAGTCAACTTCACGCTCAACAAGAAGGTCCTGAGATGGTTTACATGGAGTCCATCAGGGACCAAACGGATGGATATATGGCTGAACAACAGATAACTCTCAAATAGCAGGCAAGAGGAGCAATTCACAAACTTCCATACTTTCTAATTTATCCATGTATAATTATTCGTATTTGTTTTATATTGGCACAAACACATTGATTTGAGTGAAAGTCATAATTGCACTATGTCTAATAAGGGTTGGAGAGACTTTTTATTCCAATAGTAGTACAGGTAGAGTGTTGTGATGGGATGGCCCATGCACACAGACACTCAGAGTTGAGTTTATGACACGGTTATCGCTCTTAATGCTATTTGTTTTCATCTCCTGGGGCACCAGTGTGGACATTCTTGCAGGTCTGTGTCTCCTGTGTGCTCTTGTGAGTGGTCAATGACATTATCACAGTTTATGACACGTGTTTTTTTTACATGCTTTCATTGGCAAAGGGGGTGCTACACAGGCCTAAGTGTTTTTAAAGATCCCACATGTCAAACACTATCCTGGGGTAATCTAATAGCTATTACGTAAGCCAATTTTCGGGATACCACACGAGCCAATTAAGCAGATAAGGAGATTTGGTGATATGAGTGATGTGGCCTTCTTGCATAACGCCTCGGCCTGGTTACAACTATAGCTACAGATGCGCAGGCTACACTGGCACACATCGAATGGAGTGAAAAACACGGCATCAGCTCCACTGTCTTTCATCCTATTCTGATGGAGGAGAGGAACCTTCTCTTCTCCTCGCCACCTGCAGAATGCGCAAGTCTATAACAGCCCACTGCAGTCCGGTAGCCTCTGATTTATTGCACTGCACAACATACACAGCTCAGAAGACACACATTAGGGCACGCTGGAGGTTTGTGGAGGAAACAGGTAAACAGTTATGCATAGTGAGAGCACGGTAGAAAACAGACGCACAACGCAATCCTCCCGGGGCTTACCTCCAGCGTTCGGATCTCTTTTTGCGTCAAGTCGTTGGATGTGGCACATTTGGTCCGTAAACCCTCCAAACTAGAAATGCTTATGTCTATCATGTTCTGCACCAACTCGCACTGCTGCAAGGCTTTCTGCAAACTAAGATGCTGCTCCTCGCTTTTGGTCATCTCCTCGTTCATAGTTTGCGGGCAGTGGTCGTTATTTTCCCTTTGCACTTTGAAGAACAAATCAAAAAGCAAAAAAAAAAAAAAAAAAAACTAAATAAATCAAATAAAGCCCCCCAGTGGGAAATCAAAATGTGTTTCAGAAAGGAAACCCGCAGAACGCCATGGAGCGAGGTGTTGTGGGTTTACAGACGCGGTTGGAGCCGTGACACAGTCGACTCCATTGCAACAACAGTGCTCGTAGTTCCTGCTGTTTCATCAAGGTGTCTCTGCTTGTAGCTAAATCAAACACAATGTGAAGAGAGCGAGCGGCTGCCTGCTACGCGGTTCGCCACAGCATCCATGGGGTGGCCCTCGGTTTTACATCGAACAAAAGAGCAGCGTTGGGGCGCATCGCAGCCCGCTGTTTAAAGGTGCTGATGCGAGGTACTCCCTGTATCCCTTGGCAGCAGCTGCATCCCTGTTTGCTCCCACCACACCGACATGTTTCCTGTCAATCAAATCCACAGCAACAGCATCGCATTGCCCAGGCTCCACCGTGAGGGGCCGCTCTCGCGAGATCCGTGAGTGCGCTGTATCCAGGCCTGCGCGAGCACCTGTCACGGGCATACGGTCTACTATGGTCATGGGAGGCAGGCTGCTGCAGAAGCCAAGTCACTGCATTTAAAGAGAAAAAACAGATCCAAAGTTATTTTGATGGTATGTATGGTATAGTCTCAGTGTATGGAAGATCAAGACCAAAATTATTATGAAGACGGAACTCAACTTCACATTCCAGAAGAAGGTCCTGGGATGGTTTTTACATGCAGTGAATAAACTCAAGAAATGGCTCAGCAATAGACAACCCATATGTAAAGACATTTATTTGGCTTTACAGTATAGCCCCAGGGCATGGAAGATTAGTTTTGGGTCAGATCAGCTAATCACCAAACTCCTGGAACTATAAAAGATCAGATTGAAGATAAGATTTAACCAGTCAAATCACATTCTGGGTTGAATCCGCGCCAGTTTGATCTCCACTCGCACAAATAAAAAATGAGTCCTACAACTTGCAGAGACATTTATAAGGATGTTGTTTGTAGCCCAGATATATACAGTCTGGGATTATTACTGTGGGTGTTATAATAATAATAATAATAATAATTATTATTATTATTATTAGTAGTAGTAGTAGTAGTACGTCTAGTAGTAGTAGTAGTATTACTGTTATATGATTATTATTGGCATTCTTATCATCATCATCCATTATTGCCTAGTGCATGCACTGTGCCATACAAATAGACTTTCCTTGTATTTGTATTATTATAGTTGTTATAATGTTAATTATTATTATGATTTATTAATACAACTTGTCAATACTGATTATTTAATCACTTTTTTCTTGTTTTTAACTTTCCATGCTTGCCCCGCCCCTCTCCGCTGTCATTGGTGGTACGTAATGACGTAGGGCGCAGAGTTTGTCACAGAGAGAGAGCAGTGGCAAGAAAGGTGGCAAGAGGGGTTAAAAGGAAGATTTTTGTATGAAATACAAAAGGAAGCAGAGCTCGAGATGAAGGATTGGGGTTCGCTAAATAGAAGGGAGGAAGATATATTGTCAAGGTTGAGATTAGGGCATACAGGACTAAATGATACATTGAGAATAATAGGGAAGCATGAGACAGGCAATTGTGATGTGTGCAGGACAAGGGAAAATGTGGAACACGCCATTATTAAGTGCCCCAGATATAGAGAGTATAGGGAGCCATTTAAACGAGTACTGAGAAGGCATAAAATTGTTTTTTGTGTAAAGGATATATTGAAAGTTTGTGATAAAGAGGTTGTTAGAAAAGAATTGTTTAAGTTTCTGAAGAAATCTGGGTTGGAAGGTAGGATTTAAGGCTAGGAGCTAGTTGTTGTCTGTGGGGGCCATCCTGGCCCACACTCCACTCCGGAAGGTGGCAGTAATGCACCAAAAGTTGTTTGCCAACTGCCATAAAACAACACGAGAAGAAGAAGAAGTTTGTCACAGAACGCGCCAAAGCTGCTTCTGTTGCGAACAACTAAATATCTGCCTTTTGCTTCGTCCATCCTTTTCTGTCACTGCACTTTTGTTCAACTATGGCGTCAACAAGTAGCAAAGCGTCACAACAACAAAGAAATCTGCCCTGGTGAGTCAAAACAGGAGTACAGAGGCAGTAGCTTACATGATGCTTATGCTAAAAGTGTAGCCCTTGTGTTCATCATGCGTGGGATTTGACTGTTTAGAGACGTTTGGACACTTGTCAATATGTTAAATGTATTATAAGTGCATGATTTCTTCTCAGGGTTGAAAAGTACAGACCCCAGACTCTGGATGACTTGATATCCCATAAAGATATTCTTAGCACAAGTGAGTAAGCGTGTAATACACACTGTATCATTTGGCACATGTACTATTTCTGATCTAAATCTTCATTTCCAGTTCAAAAGTTTATTACTGAGGACAGACTCCCCCACCTCCTGTTCTATGGACCTCCAGGTACAGGCAAAACGTCCACCATCCTGGCCTGTGCCAAACAGCTGTACAAGGACAAGGAGTTCACTTCCATGGTTTTAGAGGTACGTTTCATTGATGTGAAGTCGTCAGAGTCAGTGTGCAGAATCTCACTAAATTCTGTCGTTTTGAAAATAGCTCAATGCATCTGATGATAGAGGTATTGATGTAGTGCGAGGGCCAGTTCTCAGTTTTGCCAGCACAAGGACCATTTTTAAGTAAGATATTTTTTTATTTGCAATATTCTTATCATTAGGCAAACGTGATATATCTTGCAGTGACATTTCTGCATTATTAGGAAAGGTTTCAAGTTGGTTATACTCGATGAGGCTGATGCCATGACCCAGGATGCCCAGAATGCTTTGCGACGAGGTAAACCATCTGTTCACTGAGGCATTGCCCACTGAGCAATCTCACTGTTCAGCAGCTCCCCAGACACAGGCTGAGGATGTAGACCTCAGTGCAAATAACTAATCAATAAGTAATCTCAATTGTGACTGACAATTATCCTTAAATTAGGGCTGCACAATTAAGTACAATCGAATCAAAATAGCAATTTGTGTGGTTGCAACTAACAAATGCAAAGACTGTAATTAGTAATGGTTTCCAAAAAGAAAAGGGACTAAAGATAAGAAGGTTATCACTGAATTTAGTTAGTAGCATAAAAGCTACTATTATTAGTATTTTATATGTATTTAACATATTTTTCTGTGATTCTTTTATTGATTCTAGAAAACAAATTGTACTATAGGTTAGCTAGAAATATTTCCTGATATATTTGTAAATCGTGTATGGAATAATTACTTAAACTGTTATTTTTACTCTGAACAAAATTAGACTTTTAAAACTTACAGGATATCAAAAATTGCATCACAATAAAGGTCAGAATATATATTTGGAAAAATGTGTTGAACTTCATGTCTCCTAGACTACAACAGACTACAACAATAGCATTTTGTCTATTACTTCCTGCATTTGTACACAAATCTTATTTATATTATTTGTTGATCAATGAATATACCTTTGCTTGTTTTTCTCATTCTAGTAATTGAGAAATTCACGGAGAATACCCGATTTTGTTTGATCTGCAACTATCTGTCCAAAATCATCCCTGCTCTACAGTCTCGCTGCACCAGATTTCGCTTTGGCCCTTTGGCCCCTGAGCAGATGATCCCACGACTGGAACATGTCATCAAAGAAGAGAAGTGTGTCTTATTTTAACTGTTGTCTGAAGTGAATTGATGTGATTGTGATGTGCTTTGATGGTTGTTGCAGCATTGACATAACGTCAGATGGAATGAAGGCGATTGTTACGTTATCTTCCGGGGATATGAGAAGATCTCTGAACATATTACAAGTAAGTTAATTATTTAGACTTGTTTCAATAATTCTTTTGTCTCATACGCACAATAGTACAAACCTGTTAACAAATGATCAAAATAGTATTTGATTAAAGCTCAAGAATAAAAAAAATTCTTGTTTGTACGTAGAGCACCAGTATGGCATATGGGAAGGTCAGCGAGGACACTGTCTACACATGCACTGGTCACCCTCTTCGCTCTGATATCGCAAACATCCTCGATTGGTCACTCAACCAGAATTTTTCCACGGCTTATAATCGTATCCTTTGTTTGTACCAAATACTGATTAATAATGCTTGTAATTAGAATAAGGCGTGTTTGATATGATTGAATCCTTAATGACTGTATTCAGAGATTCTCCAGCTGAAGACACTGAAAGGCTTGGCACTGCATGATATTCTGACTGAGGTCCATATGCTTATACACAGAGGTAAGAGGTTTCTAATCACTGATGTTATGTTTTGAAGTGGACAAAATGATAATTGTATCATTGTTTCTCTTTAGTTGATTTTTCTCCTTCCATTCGAATGGGCCTGCTCATAAAGTTAGCTGACATCGAGTAAGTATTTTATTTATTTCCTAAAGTGGCCGTCAACAAGACATTCTATTATTGTTCTATGGTTTTGCGTCAGTCTTTTGTAAGAGAGTAATAAAGCAATTTCAACGGAAAGATGTATGATGCATCTTTCCTGGTTGAGATTGTGCTTCCTTCCTCCCCTTTGTTTAGAGTTTAAATCTTGACAGTAGTATTCATCCATGTACACGAGTAGATCCCAGCCAACGTCACAGGCCTGTGTGTATGTTTGAGAACATTGACTTTAGGCCACTGTTGACTCACTGGCATGTTGTGTTTTCGATGTGACATCAATAAATCCTTTCTTGTATAATTCTTTCTCAATAATTAGCTTTCAGTCCTAGCTGTAATTGACCATTTCATGCATTTAATTAAAGATAGGACTGAAAGGGCTTTGGAGTCATTTCTCATTGTCCCATGAAGACTGACATTTTTCTTTCCAGAGCGGTTCTGTTAAATAATAATAATAAAAGGTGCCAAAAATTAGCAATATTTGTGTTATTGTAATCTTCATGTAACTCTTCTCCAGACACCGCTTGGCCTCTGGAACCAATGAGAAGATTCAGCTGAGCTCCATGGTTGCGGCCTTCCAGGCAGTGCGGGACATCGTGACGAGTGAGGCTGCCTAGAGCACCAACTACAACTTCAAGTAGCATTCTAAAATAAATACAATTATATATTTGCCTCTTGTAACAAATGCCAAAAGAATTGTTTTGATATTCTTACTTTTAATAAAACATTGTTAAATTTCCAGTGAGTACTTATATTATTATTATTAACAGTATGCGCAAAAGTAGCAGTGCATATGGAGTACATAAAGTATAAATTCCTATTCTTTACATCAATCTTTGCATGATAAATTAACAGTATAAAGTTATATTCAAGTAATAAAACATGAACTTTGCATTATGTTCATTGTACAATAGTACAATAATTTCTCGATATACTTGAAATTATTACCTATTAGAATATAAGATGCTTTTCTCTGCTAGCAAAAGTAGTTAAAGCATCTTATTGAACCAAAAAAGGCATAGTAAGGATAACATTCGCTGGCTCTAGTGTTAAGTTATTGCATTGTGTGTTGCTTCCTAACGAGTTTAAGCTCCTCCTCCTCCTCCTCCTCCTCGTCGTCGGAGCAGCAGGTCTTGAGGTCCGGGATGTTCCTGTAGGTCAGATACTCCAGGATCCTCTTGGGCAGAGGTAGAGGCTCCATTTGGTGAGTGGACACAGAGTGGCGCAAGATGGACCGGCACAGATGACTCAGGCAGGGCACGGTCCGCGGGGCGCGCCAGAACCTCACATGGCCATCCCTCGTCCTGAGAAACAAGCCCATTTTGGTTATTAGGTTAAAGCAAATGAAAGTTGTGGTAGATTTTACTGAAAGCTGGTCTGAGGGGGAAAAAAATTGGATTAAGGCATTGCGGTCGAAATGTCTTTTTTGAATAAATAATGACCACTTTTCATATTTTAGAGTCATATAAGAGTATTTGAGTACATCAACTTCCACACAGAAAATATCAAACAGCTACTATTAGTGATTACTATAAAGCAGGGGTACCTAAGTTTCAAGCCACAAAAAATAGCAAAGTAATAAAATCCATCTACAAGTTTTAATAATTTTTCGAGCAACTTTTTTAGACAAAACATTGAAAAAGACAGGACTGCATTCAATCAGCTCTCAACGCAAAGTGTTGATACTATTTCTAACAATACTCTTTCTGTTGAAACAAACAAAATGTATTTTTTTATGGGGGGTTGGGTATCCCAGCTTTAAGACAGTATTATAGTGACAGTAGCTAGCGATAGATAGAATATAGACTGATTATAAAACAAAAAAACTGGAACATTCATTTTGGTACTAAAGTAGGCATTTCAAGTATTTACAGTGATAACCAAAGGGAAGTCTTCTGCATAATTAAATTGAATTAAATTGAAAGAGCTCTGGAATCTACAGGGTTGGTGACCATTGGCTTAATGATTATTTCTTCATTTGTGCCCTTGCATTTCTCGAAAGATCCTTCAAACATGAATATTTTATTATTTCTTGCTGAACAGTTCCACACAGTATCGTGTTTGCAGGTGAGGCCAAGTTGCAAGTCTAATCTAGATACCCTCCTCACAGCCAGAATTAAAGTTTGAGACGGCATTTTTGATCAAGATGGATCCGAGTCAGTGCAATTCCTTATTTGTCCAGGAGGTTTTTCTAGAGGTCTTTTTTCTTTATTAATGTTTGATATTCTGTGCCAGTATAAAGGGGAAATATTACATTGTTCTGTGCTTTATTATATTATCTGAGTTCCATCTATGAATGATTTATTTACCCTGTAGCAACCACACCCCCTGCTGGATGGTAATTGCAACACAGCCCATTGGATCTTCGGTCGGTTTTCGCTTGCATAACCATTCCCTTCTTGCCAGGTTCCCAGATTTGTAGTGGTCTGCGTATGAACAGTAGAGTATATATTTCAGTATAACATGTCAATTATTACTGTTGGATTACTTGCTCACCTGTCGTCAGTCACTATTGCCAAGTGCAGTCCGTTGGGAGAGAATTGCAGCGCTGAGATTTGATTTTGGCCATAATCTTCAAAGTAGTCACTGGGAAAATAAAATGTATTTCATGCATTGTATGCTTCTTTGTTTTCCTTGTAAATTGTTCAGTTCTTTGCTGTCTCTTGTCTCAAGGTTCAGTCGTGCAAGAACCTGCTGCACAGGTCACATGACACCTGGATTGGATTTTTCCAACAGAGCAGCAGATACAGAGGACGGTAGCATGGGAAGGTCAAGTTACACCCTTTCACATAATTTCCTCAAAATAAATACACTTGTGTTTGCAAATTGACAATGAAAGTAAATCTGCTTCTATTTGATATCCCTCTGCTGAGAAACATGTTGTGCTGCAAACTAAAATAACTTACATTAAAGTGGACACCTTCTGTGCAGTGTAAGGGTCCCATAGGTCAATCCACCAACTGGAGCCACTGAAGGCTGCTGTGGCCAGGAGCGCTCCGTCAGGAGAGAAGTCACATGAGGACAGAAGATACAAAGTCTTCTGGGTGCCCCCGCTTAGTTTCCTGATGAATGTGTAAGAGCGCAGACTCCATAAACACACCATCTGAAGGACAAAACAATGAACAAATCCTTTCACCAAAACCAGTGTTGCCAACTCCTCAGTAAGGAAAATAGCTATTGGCTGTCCCAAAAGTCGCTAGAAGTCGCTAAATGACGTCATCACCTAATTTGCATAATTGGCAATTTGCAAATAACTAACGGACGCTGTAGGAGAGAGGAATAACGTCGTGGGAGAGACAAAAGTGAGTAAAAAACACCCTAAATATGTTTAGAACTACAAATGTACACAAATAATTTCAACATTAACAACATTTAATGATTTTAATGCTTTGTCTAGATCCACATTACACACATCAGTTTTGTCCTGTATTGTTAAATGTTATAACAGCAAATGTAATCAAAAGATTGTTATGTAGGGTGAAATTGCTAGCTCTACAACCAACCCTCCTCCTTTATCCGGGCTTGGGACCGGCAAAGTGACCCAAAAGACACACTCTGGCAGAGTTACTTTCATTTTTTTTTTTTTTTGAGGGGTGGTTTGTTTAGTTTTCGTTTATAACTTAATACTACAGCTGGGACTGCTGCGCAAGGCTACTGTGAGACTGGCCGCCTGTGCTTTGGGACGGGGGAGGGGCTCACGTTGAGGACAGTAACTGCAGAACAATACGTGCTTCACGCCAGAGTCTCCAAAACACCAGATAAGTCGCTAGATTTGTCGCCAGTCGCTTTTTTGAAAGAAAGTCGCTATAGGGGTCTGAAAAGTCGCTAAATCTAGCGACAAAGTTGCTAAGTTGGCAACACTGACCAAAACATGTTACAACATGCCTGTGCCGGGGAGAATGTGTGATATTATCTGATGGACTGATTACGTCATTATCCCATTCTACATGTGAGTTGAACATTAGTTGAAAAGGTCAAAGGTTTACCTGAGAGCTAACTAGGGCCAGTGCGAAAGAAAGAACTATCACACCACAGAATCATAAACTTCACATTATTACTATAACAAATAAACTTACTCTGTCAAATCTTCCAACAGAAGCAATCATACTGCAGTCAGATGACACGCAGCAAGAGCTCACCCAGTCCTTATGTCCAGACAACACCTGCACCTTTTTACCTGCAGAAATAATCACATCATGTATTCAAGGGATTTGCATTTAAATGGATTGAGATATGTGACCTAGTATAGTCACCATCACAAGAACAGTGTGTGTGAGCGATTGAACTGTGTCCTACAAAGTCACACCAGCTCGTCAAGGGCCATAACACTGCATACCACTACCTTCCTATGCAGTGACTCTGGGTGTGTGGGTGGATGTATGGGCCTGTTGTATTCCCAGTGTAAGAGACAGGGTAAAATGTTGCGTATGCAGGGCAGGGACATAGTAACAATAGTAATAACAGTGATACGGTATGTGCTTGTTCACACCTTTATGAGTCAGGTCCCAGATCCTTAAGGTCTTGTCTCGAGAAGAAGAGATGAGAGTGAGAGTTCCATTTTGAGGAAAAATAAGATTTCTGACAACTCCCTCATGTCCATGCAGATCAAAAACAGCATCACCTGGTCGTAGAAAAAGGTAATGACAAAAATACGTACTGGGAAACAGGCCAAAAACAAAAAAATTGCTCACCTGTTAAAACATTCCAGATTTTAATTACTCCACTTTCCAAGCCGGTCGCCAGAAGCAGTGTGCCATTGTTATTTCCCTTTTTTATATTTTTTGCTGAAGAAGCAGCATTTGATTTCGGAGGTCTGGGTCCGAAAGCGAGTCCCCACACTGGCTGTCCACAGCTGAAGCTCTTGTCCTCTCGGTCGATGTCTTCATGTTGTCTTTCTCTATAAGCACAATGGTATAGGGGTAATCATAATTTTACTGTGTTTTTTCTATTGTTTAAGTTAAAGGAGACATATTATTCTAAATCGTTATTTTTGAGGTTTTAACCAAACAAAATATCCCGACCTGGAGTTGTTCCATCCACTCTAAGATCAGGAACTTCTGGTACAATCATGTAACGCCCCACCCCTTCTGTTTAAAAGCTCCTGTCTTAGTCCTATACTAGTATGATGACATTGTACCATTATGACATCATACTCAGAGAAGTTTGCTGCCTTTTTTTAAGTATTGACCCATACATTCATTTTGGAAGAAGATTACATGTGTTTTTTAAAAATCCCTTAGTTTCAAAACTTGGGGAAAAACACACATTCAACACACAATAATAAATTCACAACATAAAGCATTACAGGTTAAAATACCTTTCCTCCATGCTTGTTTCACCATATGTTCTACTTAAGATATCACTTAACATTCTAAAACACAATATGACAAAGTAAATAGTAACAAAGTAGTTTCAAAAAGCCAAAACTCATTATATGTCTTCTTCAAACCATGGAAGTATTGTAGTATCTTAGTATAGTATCCAACAGGCCCAGTTCTATCTCTCCTTGGATGTTTATCCCACACTACCCCCACCCACTACACAGGCTAAGCTTCATAATGAGCATGTAACCCCCACAGCTATATGGTTGTAAATCTTACTCTGAGTCCAGCGGCCAAGCCACAACCCACACTATGCCGTGACCCATGGACCAGGCGAACCAGGCTCCGTCCGGGGAGAAGTCCACGCTCCATGTCTCACAGTCCGCTCGTCCTTCCAGTGACAGGGGGCGTCTGGTCTTCAGCTCCAGGATCAGAGCGGGATCTGAGGCTAAACAGGAACCGAGAAGGAAATACGGATTAAAAGGGGCGAGCTTTAAAATGCAGAGCTTCAAATAGCCCATACATTGTTGATGCCACTTGTCCCACACTGGTCCCCTTCGCTGCAAAACATGAATGCACAACACACCGCCCTGTCATCTCGCTTTCTCCCCCCGGGATTAACCAGCTGCTACCCTTTGGTTTTTGCCGCGTTTGGTTGACAATAATGAGAACATTGTGAGATTTCATAACACTTTTAAGCAACTTTTGTTAAAGTTAAACTCATCATTCTATCAATGTGCAGAAGCCAGTACTTTTCCCTTGTTTTGTCTATCTGAAGGCCAAGCTACATGGCACCGTGGAAGCTGCTGATTGGAGGTCTCCATGCCTCCGCTCTGTATAATACACTTGCATTCTGTTGTTCGTGTTGTTTGTGCTGTCTCTACCATCGACAATAAAACATGTCTTCTGTCTGAATTAAAGACGCGATCCCAGACTTTGTCATCTTCTTCAACATGCATAGGTTTTCTTGTTTTCTCTTATCATATTTTTCCTGTTAAAAATGTATGTATCTTGTGCATGTTTTAAATAAATAAAAAAATTATATAATATATAAAATAAATAAATAAAAAATAATATGTTGCGTACTTTAGCTGTTTTTTTAATATCTCATAGTTTCCGAGGTAAATAGATGCTAGTGATAAACATGAGGCTTACTTGAAGGGTGAAACTCCGCGCTGTTTTTAGTGGAGCACATCCTTCTTGTCCTTTGGTCTTGTTACATTCTCGTTTCTCGGGGAGGATTATTTACTTCCTGATTGTGCCGTGTCCATGTCTGAACTTGTCCATTTGAAGTCCAGAGGGTTCGAGATCCACTTCTGATCGCGCAAACATAAGATGAAAACATAAATGTGAAATATGCGTTAGGAGAACTGAATGTCGTCTCCGCGGATTGTGCTGTGAGTCACTCAGGCATTTACCATTGGCTGCATTCTTGCTCAACGTAATCACGTTTTTTCTACATTACGTAAGAGCCATAAAGAATGGGGCTTGATTATTTTAGATCATGAATGTATTATATTATCGTGTTTTTGATCAATGTACCATGGGCATGTTAGTCTGCCTTGAGATTTTGGTTTGGTGTTATGGAAGATTATTATTTATTTGTTTTCAGATTTTTAAATTTCTACATTAGATTTTTTTTTTTTTAAATAATAAATATATGTTTTTATCATGGTTAAAAATTCTAATAGATGAATTCAGGTCCATTTAAAATTCAAAAACTGATGGAACAAATGGTCTAATTTTTATTATTTAAAAAAAAAAAAAATCACATTGGATCGAATTTGAAAGCTCGAAAAAAGACATATTGAATATTTTAAAGGCAAAATTTTCATTTTGAAATGTTAGTAATTAAGTAAGTAATTTAGATGTAATCACATTGAAAATTGTGCACTGCATTTTCAGTGATTACATTTCAAAGACAAAAATATTCAAACAAGACTTTTTCATGGTTAAAAATGTCAAATTGAAAAATTCAACCTAATTTATAATTCAAAATATGATGACACTAAAAATCTTCCATACTGTCCAAACCATAGACTGTCCAAACCAAAGACTGTCCAAACACACTTCCTCCAGTCCATCCGGAGTGAATCCTGAGGCATCTCCATGCCAACTGTTAGAAAAATGCAGCCTTAATCAAAACATCTTCCATAAAGATGTGCCCTTGGAATTATCTAATGTTACCAAATTGGTTTATATAAAAAATTGTGAAGATTACAAATATGTTTTTCCTCTGTACATGTTTGAATAATCAATACACTTTGATGATAATGATTTTGCTGCATTTTTCAGCAGTTTATCAGTTTCACTTGGTGCTGTGCCAGGTGATTTTTTTTCTTTATTCAATGGCCATGGCTCCAAACGGTTGGGGAACACAGATATAAATACAGAGAAATCAAACTTTATATTGTGTAATTTCTCTCAGCTGGCCTGGCAATGCCTCAGGATTCCCCCAGATGGATTGGAGGAAATGTGTTTGGAAAGGAAAATCTGGGCGTTTCTGCTTAGACTGCAGCCCACGACCTGACAATGGATAAAGCGATAGAAAATAGATGGACAGATTGTTTAAATAGTGCGTTAATTTGTCGCTGTGGCATTGACGGTAAGATTTTTGTATTCATAAATTATATATTCTTATTTTTGTGTCATAAGTTAAAAAAAATGAACAAATTAGACCACAAACCAGACTGTAAATGTGATCTTCCTCTTATTAGAAAACATGTTCTCTTTTCCTTTTTTTTCCTGAGAGCTCATTGGCCGAATAAGAATGGTCTGTTCTCTTTCCATGTTTCTGTCTGAAAAAGCAGATCTAAAGATGTGACAGAGGCCAGCAATACATTCATGCAAACTTTTTTCAGAGTGAGGCCCTATATAGCAGGATTATGGTTCGAAAATCAGGCATAGTGAGTAATGGCTACTTAAAATAAATATGTTTTGTTAAAAATTCAAGGAAGCATGAACACAACAGACGGTTTGTGCTAAAAAAATCAAGAAGAAAAAAAACAACAATTTTCTTCTTTTCAAACATTTCATTCAATAAAATGTCAATAAAACATAGTCCTATCTACAAATAATGAACTGTATTTAAAAAATACATTTTTTACACTTTTGGTCACATTCTTTTTAGGTTTAAGTTACTCCCTATACAATCACATAATCCTGATTTCTAAAACATAAGATCCTCCGGCTCTTCTGTCCTTCCAGCGTCGTCCTGTGCAGCAGTAGAGGCATCGACCGTTTCTGCTTCTTCATGATTAGCTGCAACGAGAGATTTTGTTATTTTTTATTATCATTTATTATTCTACGCATAAGTTTAGTTAAGTTTTGCATTCAGGCCATACTTGATGGAATTCCGTGTATTTCCACAAGTGTGGTTTGACATCCGTTTGACACAGGGGGAAGTCTGGGCACAGCGGCTGGGAATATTTGTTCATCGTCGGATTCTACCAAACTCAACACATCCCCTTCGTCCTCCTCCATCCGCCTGTAACACACCCAGAACTCATGGTTACACCTGTCAAACTAAAACACAAACACTGCAAACACATCTAATTTACAACAGTAATTGTTTACATGTTTTTTTTTAATTATCGGACTTGAGATAAAATTACTTTCTTGTCATGTAAGTAAGTAAGTATTTATTTATATACCGCCTTTTCACTGCAGATCTGAGTCTCAAAGCGGTTTACAATTGTTAATTTTTTTTGGGCATTTGTCTCTCACTCCACACAGAGATGGGAGCGCGGTCGCCAGTACAGGAGGCGCATGCTAGAACTATTGGACATATTTTTAGTGGTAGGGGAAACCGGAGTACCCGGAGGAAACCTACGCAGACACGGGGAGAACATGCAAACTCCACTCAGAAAGGCCCTGGTCCGACCGGGATTCGAACCCAGGACCTTCTTGCTGAGAGGCGAGAGTGCTATCCACTCAGCCACCGTGCCGCCCTTCATCTGTAGAGAGATGAAAAGTAAGTTTTGAAGTGGTTAGCCATGCTTCTAAGTTGAATTAACTTGTTGTAGTTTGAGGTGTGTCTTTGTTTATTGGCATATTCTCTGCCGGTATGAAATATTTCTACAGCAGTATCCTATCAGGAAGTGTTTAAAAAGCCTAAAATAAATATGCCAGATGTAAAAACAAAAGTGAGAGATCATGTCAGAGTACATGTTGCTATAGAAAGACTGCCACAGACCTTGTTTTCTCTTTGTTCTTCAAATAATTATGGTCTAACAATTATTCAAAAAAAATGCATTTTACTTTTTTATGTAAGAAGATACAAAAAGTCTGTTTATACTAGTATGGGAATTATTTTTATACTAGTACCTACAGTGTACTTTTACTTAAGGCTAGTACTTTGCTGTCTCTGACTTTTGGTGTGTGTACATTTTTATTTTATTTTTTGACTTACCCAAAACCACCTGCAAACACAGAAAGACAAGACAAAATGTTACACCTCATGGCATTAACATTTTTAATTTACACAAAGTTGTTTTTTTGCTTTACCGAGGCAAATTCTGTGCCTGCTGGAGTAGACAGTCTTGGCTATGATGACGGCACATCCCACTATGAGCGCAGAAATAAATAATCCGATCACAGCGCCCGTGACTTCAGATGAAGCTATGGACACAGAAGAACATGAGGCACAGGAGCAGGACTATCAGCATTCCACCGGCAGTTACAATGGGTCAAGATCCGTCTATTTACAACTAGCAGTGAAGAAACAAAGATGCCATTTTGACTTAATGCGGCCTCTCGCTTTGTCTATTGTCTTTTTGATTGATTGATCGGCCACCATCTGGGTCAGTTCATCTAAAAGTGTCTACATTCTGGAAGACAAAATGGTGATACTTGGTGTGAAAGGTTTGCGGTTAAAAGATCAAATTCTTCTTTTAAGTTTGAAAGCCGCTGTGTAAATACAGGTTATTACTAAATTACTAACTAACTAATTATCACCTAATTTATAGGGGTGGATAAGCTACAGAGTGTAATTACTACTTACTGCTACATTAAAGGAAATGTTTTTAAATCTAAAAGGTATTAATACATTATGTGAAAATGTACTTTTAAGTTTAGATATTTGGAATGAAAAAAAAAACATGCTTTGTATAGAACGTCATATATATCCATCATAAATCCAGAACCAGAGCAAACCCATGCTACTTTGCTACAATAGACGCCAATCATGTTTTAGACGTATATAAATATTGTTAGACATAAAAACAAAACCTTTTTTTATGATAGAACTCTTAACAACTCCTGGTCTGTTGATGATAAGGCAATCCCTTTGTCACATAGAGAAAATCTCAAAAAGACCATTACGCATGTCTCCTTTAAAGAAGAGAATACATTATATAAGTTTTCTTAATTTTACAGAAATAGTAGTTTTCATAACATTTATTTATTAAGAGGAATAGCCCCTTTTTTAAGAGGAACCTCCAAATCTAATACCAAAACCGGTCTACCAAACACACAGCATCTATTTGACCTACATTTAACCGTGAGGTAGATCTGCAGCTCTTTGGCGCCCAGTGGGTTCTGGCTGAGGCAGAAGTAAACGCCCTCGTCGTCCTTGGAGATGTTGACTATGGTGAGGGTGAAGCGGGGCCCCTCTGCGCTCACTCTGTACTTAGAGCCATTGACGATGAGCTCCTGCCGGACGCCTCTTCTCCATGTGGTGAGGGCGGGGGGCGTGGACCTGCTCTCGCTGCACTCCAACGTGATGCTGCCTCCTTCTACAGCAGTGGCCAGCGGGTTTCCCATGGTGTATGGAGTTTCTGACGATCAAAGGAAAGTGTTTGATTGTGGGTTATTTAAAAGTTTTATTATAACAACACAATAGATACAGTATTTTCTGGAATATAAGTTGCACTAGAAACATTTGAAAAGAAAGTTAGCAGTTAGTTCCATGGGGGTACTCCTTCACCAGTCTATTTGGACAATAATTAGTGTCCTATAGCTACTAAAACTTGATGGATTTATTATTATGTTGACTCCATCAACTCTTCTCTGACAACAGCCCAGCTCTATCACAATAAAGACACTAGCATTTTAGCTGCATCGCTATGTGAGCTGCGGGAATCAAAAAAAAGTAGCGGATCATAGTTCGGAAATGTAATGTATGTAAACTTATACACCTAAAACTAAATGAAAGCTGTGTCTATATCTGGATGTTTTAGATTTGAGAACCTTTATCACAGAACAGAAGGAATAAAGAGCACTCAAAACAAGACTAAAAGTATAGTAATAGAATCAATAGTAAATAGTATCAATTCTAAATATATATTGATACTTGAGAGATCTTAGTACTTGGCGACAGTAGTTCAGTTGGTAGAGCATTATTGGCCTTTGGGCCTGGAGGTCGTGGGTTCAAGCCCACTATGGGACCTACTCCAACTGCTCCCACTAATGTCTACTGTTGGTGTGTCCTTGGGCAAAACACTTAACCCCACGTTGCCTGAAGCCCCCGCTGAAAGACCAAGGCTGTTTCACCGCTGACGGAGCAGCCATCTTCCTGTGGACTCACCAACTGCAGAGGATCAGCGAGGGACTGGTGCTATGAACGTTGGGTGGCAGCTCTCATTGCCACCCCCCCGACCCAGAAATGGACAAATAAAGGGGTAGTAAATGAAGTACTAATTATCTCATTGTATGTTATATTTCAAACACAAATACAACTTACTCGAATGAATATAGTCATTTTAAAACTGAAACTCGAGCTGCATAATCTGCAACCACTTGTTTTGCCTGACACAGAGACACAGGATCATTGCCCATGTGTCACAGTTTGACCAGAGTGAGTGGAGAGTTTAAGCTGGTGGACATCTTACTGAGGGTAAAGGTGCAGGTCTTTTCCTCTCCCTTGTGGAGCGCTGGATGCTGAGCGCCGCATCGGAGCGTTTGGCCGTCAAAGAGGAGGGAGCCGTTGATGATCAGTGGCAGCTCGTCTGTCACGTTGGACGATAAAATGCGACCACTGGGAAGCTCGGTCCAGGTGAGATTAGGAGCAGGATTCACGTCAGACCAGGAGCAGTGGAACACGACAAAAGTGGATTCCTGCGTCCACATGCATTCTGGGTGTCGGTCCGATGCATCTAGTGAAAACCAAAATAGAATGATCCACTGCATTTACATACAGGTCAAGGCTATCATATTTGTGAGGTCAAGAAAAGCGTTGTAATAAACAGTTATTTTTTTCTGCTTGAGTGGCCAGTAGCAGAACTTTAGCTTAACTTCTAATTATTAATGCTAATTATAAGATTCTCTAATCAAAAATATATGACAAATACTACAGGTCTAAACAAGTACACATAAAAATACATCAAGTATGTGTTAAAGTAGCAATATGTAGGATATTCTTGTCAAGTTATCTTTAAATGGCCCTAATAAGTCTAAAGGAATTAATAAACTATGCTCTTTTTGAATGTTTCTTTACCTGATAACAGTAGTTCAGCCGAGATATTAGAATTTCAAAATTAGTTTTACAGCCCCGAAATCTTGTTATTGTTTTCATTTCTGTGTCCCGCCCTTCACCGTTTTACATGAAAGTCTGTGATCCGGGATGCCAGAACTCACCGCATCGAGCTAATTTTACTGGTAAAGTAACATATCAGTACTAAAAAAGGTCTCCTTATGATTCTCAAACCAAACAAGGAATAAAACAAGGATTTCTATTGGGGCCTTCATGAAAAGGGTGTTTGACAAAACTCTGTCTATTCAGTTATCATTATTATGGTCCCAGCTGGATTCGTCTGCATATCTGGCAACCCGAGTCAGGGAGAGTGGGAATCCGATTGTGGCACTCACAGTAGACCAAGACCTCAGCGCTCTTGTTCCCTTTCTGATCGGACACTTCATTGTGAGCCATGCAGCTGTAGATGCCCTGAGCACTGGGCTGGATGTTGTCCATCCTATATTCCAGGACTTCATTTCCAGTGTGATTAACCAGAGACGTGGTGCTGTTTGTGAGTCCATTGAAGGATAAAGTGAGCTCTTGAGCTGGATATGAAACGCCTGCACATATTATGTATACAGACTCTCCTCTGAAAGTGGTAAAGGTCCCATTGGGCAGGACTCCAGCAGGGGTGATGGCTATGGAGACATTGTCAGGTCCACCTGGAAAAGTCATGTCATTATTATCAAGTTATAATAATAAATCTTGTTATTGTCAAAATATTTGGTCTGATCGTCTCCCAGACTGAAAAATGTAGTAGGCCTTTCTCAAAGAAAATTGAGACACATACATTGACATGTTTCAGATGCCTTCTGCATCCTTGCACAGTAGAGTCATGTGTCTTTCAAGACATAGTCATAATGTGTGGACTGACTGATTTGGTTGTAGTTTGTGATTGATTAATCATTAAAGATAGTTCCTTGAACTGAACATCTTCTTTTCATTGGTAAATAATAAGTAGTAAAACACCTTGGGAGTCATTAAGTGGGCTGTTGGCTATAAGCCATATGTTCTATATAAACATGAGCACTGTCATTTTCTAAACATACGAAAAAGTACATACATGTATACATATATTCTTTAGCCATGCCTTGAATGCACCTCGGAGCTGTGATATCCCCATAGTGATCTTTGAGTGTAGACTTCCCTCTGGATTCGTGATCTACAAATGTAACTCTTTTTTTGTAAAAATAAACTATATTGCTCAAGTAACTTAGTTTGTTACTGAAGCTATGACGGAGCATTCTAACTTGACTTAATGGTCTTTGACTCATTCCACAGGTCTGGATCAGCAGCATGGCTTGCTGAATGACTCCTCAAACATGAGAGGCCTAAGCAATAGAGAAAGTCCTTGGTATGAAAGAATGACAGAACGGGCTTACTGGCCACTCGAAGCAGTACTTTGGCGTGGAAGGTGATGTTCCCGGGCAGGGTGGAGGCGCACAGGTAGAGCCCGTCATCCTCCCGCTCTACAACCCCGATGCTCAAACTCCCGTTCCGCAGCACCGCCACACGGCTCTTACTGCCACTACTGGGAACTCGTGAGTTGTCCAAAAGCGTAGATGTACCCTCAGTTATAATCTTTTTGCCATTTTTCATCCACGAGGTTACGGCCGCTGTTACATTCCCTTCTCCGTAACAAGGAAGTACAGCCAGGGCTCCGGGTGCTGCTGTCAAAACATTATCTGTGGAGTCGTCACCCGAAACCACTGCAACACATAAAAGACACGGGCAAACCTGCGTGAGGAAGCTTCATGTTGCAATCTGGATCTAACCCTGCCATTAAACTCACCTGTGGCGCAAACAGAGAGCAGCAGAACAGCGAGGGCGCGCATGGTAACTTGTGGCTACATTGCCCTCAGACGCGTCTACACACAAAAGGCTCCCAGTTGAAACCTGTTTGGCTAGTCCACCTGAGTGCAAGGAGTAGACATGCCTCCGCCCGTGACAGAGGAGGAGAGACTACAGCCCTGAGTATAGATCTAGGGACACACGGGGGACGCGGGGATAGCGATTGGCCCGTGCGTAAAAGGTGTTGATTCAGAAAGCGCGCACGAAAGTGGAAATGATGAAACCACACCCTGAGGACTGAGGATAGGAGCAGGAGGATGTTTCACACGATATACTACTGCGGTTCCCCTTGTGCCACATTTCTGGGCCTATGAGTTGAAAAGAGGTTATAGTAAAATAAGTAATAATAATAATGTATTTTTAACAATAATAATAATAATAATAATAATAAAACGGTTGAACGCCTGTATTGCAATTTGATGTATAGCCTCACATACAGGTGAGTGGGCAATGCAAGTTTCTGCACTAGTCTCAATCACAGGCCTGTTTATGTATAAGGTAACGATAAAAACAGCTCAGGTATAAAAAGGACTGGATTCTTAATAGAAGTTTGTCTCATATTTTCAGGAAGACTGTTCCTGAAGTCCTTTATGCAATCATCAATGTGTGTCTATGTGGAGGAAAATTAAGATGAATTTTGCACTGTGTGGGCACTCCTATTCCAATTTAGTTACCAACATGTTTCATCTTTCTGGGAAATAGCTTCCTAGCTGAGCAGAGTCACCTCTTAACAGATTGTGTGACTGTCTGGTTGGTGGAAATGTTGTCCACAGAGAGATGGGCTATAAAAGCAGGCCAATATGTTTCACCTTATTCTCCAAACTTTGTAATGAGTGTAGATGTGGCTCAGTGATGGCTCAGAGTGAGAAGCAGACCTACATTTGTGCATCAGAGGCCAGGCACCCCGGGACCCGTGTCCTGAAAACCTGAAAAGCGAAATGAGCATTTCAGAACCATGAAGATGAGTGCCATGGAAATCAAATTAAGATTTTAAATGTATGCTTTTTGTCAGATTATTCTTTACTGTGCAAGAACTGTGGCTTTATAAATGACTCTAATTAAATACATATTTTTCCTATGGAAAGCTTCCTGAGAACACTCTTTTTTTCAATTCTATTATCATTTTTTTTAATATAAAATGATTATTAAATTGATGATACAAATTTAGGTATTATTTATCACTAATAATGATAATAATGATCCTCCTGCAGGTGGTGAATCCACAGGAGCTGAGATCTTCCAGCAGGGGCTTCAGGCAAAGTTGGGTTGAGTGTCTTGCCCAAGGACGCAACAACAGCAGACATCAGTGGGAGTCATGAAGTAGGTCTCATGGTGGGCTCGAACCCATGACCTTCAGGCTCTAAGGCCAATGCTCTGCCAACTGAGCCATTATTATTATTATTATTAAAAATGTGTTTACATACATGTCTGTAATTGTCATAACCTTTTATAAATGTAATACCTAACAAATAAAAAAAATGGAATCTACTGAGAAACCAAATGCTTGACAACAAAAAACAAAGACTCAAGCAGACAGACTCACAAAAAAAAAAAAAATTTAAACAAATAAATGAATGGCTGTAGTTGACAAGTCAAACACATCTTTATTTTTTGTGTTTTCTTTTTTGGTGTATTTCACTGGCTAATATTGCTGTTTTGTCATCAGCAGCATAACAATGTCTGCAGGTTTTCATTCCAACCAAGCTAGAGCACAACTATTTAATTTCATTCAGTTCACTGGACTCACCCATAGACTCACCTGAGGAAATAGGTGGAGTCTGGTGGTTGGTTGGGTTGGAATGAACAACTTTTCCGGACCATGCACTAAAGACATTGCAGACCTACTTCTCGACCTACTTCTCAAACAAAGGCCACTTATTGAACAAATAACATCAAATGAAATATACATATTACAAATCACATATTTAAAAATAACAATACAAAATAATCAATAAAACATAACATAAATGGGTTTACGATGGGTCCTTGAACGCAGCAGCGTGGTGCCAGTGGTGCAGACACAACAGCGCTCCTCCTGTGGCACTAGCCGACATCTCGTGTGATTATGCCCGTGGATTTAAGCCAGTGGAGCGGGGCTTTGGAGCTGCAGCAGGTGGAGGACAAACCTGCGGAGCCTTTGACAGTGAAATACGGCTCTGTGGAAGTGAATGAACTCGGACAAGTTCTCACTCCAACTCAGGTCTGTGAGCTAATGCTAAACTGTGCTGTGTGTGCACCATAGATCCATGGCACTAGGCTTCATGCATTGTATTCGGTTACTATGTGCGCATTTCCCTTTAATTTTAATAAAACGTACTGCGTGTTTCAATTTTATAACTGCATCCAAAGCAATGGGAAATATGCTGACAATGTGTTAGATAATAAGGCAGTGTTTCTGACTTTGTTTGCTATGTATAGCGCCCTCTTCTGGACATGATCGTTGGACGTTATTGATATCTTTAATTTTAACCATTGTGTTTTCTCATGTCAATGCAGGTGCAGAACAGACCAACGTGCATTGAATGGGCAGGATGTGATCCCAGTAAACTGTACACTTTGGCCCTGACTGACCCCGATGCCCCAAGTAGAGCAGATCCTAAATTCAGGTAGGGCCTGTTTCACGATGGACCTGTTTCTGCTTTCAGTGTTGCTTTTAGTTAAGATTGCTTCCATTGTTACTGCAGGGAGTGGCATCATTTTCTGGTCATCAACATGAAAGGCAATGATGTATCTTCTGGCTCGGTCATGTCTGACTATGTAGGCTCCGGACCTCCCAAAGGAACAGGTATGAGTTTCAAATCTCTATAGGGTTAAATACTTCTCACTTAAAGCTTGGGTACCGAACTTTTATTTTTTCCAAGATAGTTTGTTTGTCCCAACATAAAGGGTCTTGTAGAAGTCTTGTGAACAAGTTAGACCTCAACATCCTCTCATTAGAAATCATTATCTTTACTTGTAAGAAAAAGATCCCTGTCACTATATTCGGGGTATCCAACCGGTTCCAGAAAGGGCCGGTGTGGCTGCAGGTTTTAGTTTCAACCTGAGCAGGAGCACACTAGACTCACCAAGGCCCTTTGAGGACCGGTTTGACACCCTGCACTATCTGATGTGTTTGGCTGAGAGCTGATAAGCTTTTTTCAAACCGAAAAGTGACAAAGATGTGAACGGCTAAAAACACATGCATGGGAAAACTAATTTTAGAGCTAGCAATTTATTTAATTTTTTTGATAGTTTTTTTGGTTTGAGTACCCCAGCGTTGATATATTTTCCATTTGTCCCCAGGTCTACACAGGTACGTCTGGTTGGTTTATGAACAACCCGGGTCGCTGTCTTGCTCCGAAGCGGTGCTGACAAACCGCTCTGGAGATGGACGTGGCAAGTTCAAGATCCAAAGTTTCAGGCAGAAGTACGGGCTCGCAGCTCCTGTGGCGGGTACCTGCTACCAGGCTGAATGGGACGACTACGTGCCCAAGTTGTATGAGCAGTTATCTGGAAAGTAAATCGTTTTTCAAAAGTGCCCGTGAACTTGAAAGCACTTATGATTGGAGCAAAGTGAAGGCTATCCCTTTGTCCTGTCGCACTTAGCCACCCCCACCATTAAACATACTAAAAGCAATGGCTGTATGCAAATCAATCATCATTCAGTGCAAACAATGTGGTACAGTTTTGAGTCAATAAAATTTTGCAAATAACTTTTGTTTTTATTTTTATATCTCTGGATAAATCAACACATTCTAACAAAATATATTCTAATGACTTGGGGCAACTGGTGCAAATAATTATCCATAAAAAAAACCTATTTGGCTTAAGTTAAATTGTACGACAAACTATAAACCCTGACTAATAAGATAGACTTGATCTCACAGGAGAAATTTACATTAACGAATGTGGATTTGTTTTTTTGCTATAATAAAAGAAAATATGTATAGGTGATAAATATTGAGTTCCAAAATATATATTGTTCCAACTATCAAATATTGAACAACAATTCAATATGGTTAGGGTTAGTTGAATATGTACAGTATAAAGGACCAGTTAAGTTATTGACTGCCCTGACAGTGTTGCGGTGCTGTGATTAAAAACACAAGTGTCTGGTTTTGTGATAAGCACTTTATTTACAAATATAATTAAACGCTCTGACATATTCATGCTTTCTTTAAACCTGGAGAAATTAAAGTGCATGCAATGATAAAGCATTATACTGTTGTGGTTTGTATAAAATTACTGCTTGGGGCATACTTTTTGAAGCAAATAAAAAGATCGACTGGGAATACTCTCGGACGAAGGGGAGGAAAAAGAATAGTCTAAAAATGATTTTGAGTGGAGTGACGTTTAAAATGTAATATGAAAATAAGTAAAAGCTCTTCATAAATCCATCTGTCAACAAAACCCCATCATTGCCTTGAAGCCCTTTGTGCTGCTGATGAGAATTAATCATTACTCACATTGGCTGCCAGTGCAGAGAAATCAGTACTATGCACACTATCACAATTTCTCATCACCCCAAGAATAATTGTAGTCACATTTATTGGAAGCGTACCAATATGTACAGTGCATTGTGAAATTTGTCAAAAAACGTAAATCTTTGAGTGTCAGAGAGCAGCACTGACAGCCGCAGAATCAGCTGTGTGAGTTATCGCTTTGAGATAGTTTTTTTGCTTGAACCCAGTGAATCTCCTAAATGATGTCTCTGCAGAGATGTGTGCCCCCTCTAATCCTGCCTGCACGAGCAACATGAAACACTAACTATGTAATCATCGTACAAAACATGACAACTACAAGAAGATCTCCAGCATTATTCAGAGGTAAAGATGGAGAGGGGCTTGGGTGGGTGCACAGGACCCTGGACCCCAGACGCACAGACACATCCCCGGGGGTCTGAGTGAAGCCGTCAGCTGCAGCGTCCTGTCCGTGCTTTAGGGCAGAGGAGCCGAGCCCTCATCTGTACTCATCCTTTGGAAAGTCCAGGGCCCCCAGGTTACAGAAGCCCAGCCGCATGCTCTCCATGTCGAAGCTGTCAGTCTCACGCTCCTGACGCTCCAGCAAGTGTTTGATACGATCGGTCCGCTCCTTCTGAAGGGAAACCAGCTCCTCTTCAATCTGCAAACACAATAACAAGGGCGTTAGATGAGTCTGATTAGGCTCAGATATTATTATTGACTTTACTTATCTTACTTAAATGGCACAGACAGATGTAGACTATATGTCGTTCACAAACAGGCAACATAATGTACGTGAGTGATACCAGAATTACCAGACTGCGGCTTTAGACTTAATAAGCCACAGGTTTAAAAAAATTGTTCTTTGGAAAGCACAGTGCCACCTCGAGCTGAGCATGCACCAAAACTCCAGACGATGACCATGAGCAAACAGGACAAAAGGCTTCTTGAAACCATTACATCATTCTAGTCCTGGAGTGCAGAGAGTCATACGACCACAAGGTGGCGCATGAATACAGAAAGTAAACCACAGAGCAGATCACCAGCATTAGAGCTGCAAACAAGCTTAACAGTCTTTGTTCAGAGCATGGCGCAATCTGAGGGCAAACTGGGAACAAGACATTACAGATAACTATGGACAACTTAAAACATATGTAAGATTTATAATTACACATTTGTTTGTTTATATCATTGATTTAATCTTTCTCTTGTATCTGTTTTATTCAATATCTGTGCTTCCCACATAGGCATCGACTTAAAGCAAATACTATTGTATCCAGTATTCACCATACACTCCTGGTATTTCCACTAACTGAATACACACCAATATTAAGCGTGCACGCTAGCTTCGAGGGGCCGCAGTGATGTAACCTGTTGAAACCCAGTGGCCATGATAATGATAGTGTTCAGGCAGCCATCATTTCAACAGTGCTAGACAAATCTAATCAAATTTTCTTTTTAATGCATATATTGAATTACCTATACATCTCACATTAAGTTAATTGTGTGCTGTGAATTGTGACTCATTGTATTTATAAATTACCATACAATGCATTATATAGATATCAGTATAATACTTAATTTTTTTTATTAATGTACCGGTAATGCTTTTTATTAGAGGAGTAGTCTATACTCTTGTTGTAACTAATGCAGGGTCATAGAATAAAATAAATAATATATAACTCTAAATTCAAACTATATTACTAAACCCTCATTCAAGAAGCTCCTTCAGTTCTGACAGAGAGAGACTCCATCAAGTGCAGATACTGTAAAGGTGAAAGGTGTTTTGAAACCGACTTCAAAGATATGCGTGTTAAAGGCCCTTTCTCAGCAGGACTCTGTTTGAAGCTTTTCACTCACAACTTGTCCAATTGATGTATTTCCGAGCGTTTTTATTTTTCTGGACCCAATACGTTCGACTGTAGGATTACACAAATATAAAGTAGATAACACTGTTGTTATTGGTAAAGCCCCATTTATCAAAAAGCTGTTATAATTAAAAACTATGATAATAACAGTATTAGAATGAAATGGTTGGATCTCAAAAATGTATCTTGCATGTGTCTCTTGAAAGTTGGTTGGCCGTACGAAGGGCTGCCAGATTAATTGCAATCGAGGTGAAATTGCGATTTTAGTGGTTGTAGGCCAGCTGTCGACAAGTTGTGGTAAGACTTCAGCTGAGAAAGTGAACCCAAATCTGATGGTCGAGTTTAAAACCTCAAGAAACACACTTTTTAACCACCGATGCACTAAAACAGTAGAAATGTTTGCCACCTGGTGTCTGTTTGCAGAAGTGCACACAATTTAAATGATCCGAGACACGAGGAGTATGAGAATGTTTTTCTTGCTTTGCTTTTTAAAATCACCAAATATTGTACAAATATTTTTAAGCATTGGTTTGGTTGAATTTAAACTTCCCTGAAAGTTTATGTGAGAGATTATTAGGGTCTTCTTTCACACTTGTATTAGATCAGATGTGTCAAACTTAGGCCCGTGGACCAAATCCAGCCCGCAAGACTATTTTAGTGTCCTCTGATATGATTTTAAATGATCTTTTTTCACAGTAACTTTCAACATTGCTGTGCCACTACCAGTTCCGGGGATACTATGGCATGACTACTATGGCATGTTTTACCTCATTTTAATGCCTATTTTCTCATGAAAACAACCATCAAATTGAATCCGTTCAATTAGAAGTTAGAAGTTATTTATTAATTCTGTATAGTTAACTTCTTCAAATACATCTCTTCTTGATATTTGGCCCAGTTGTGGTTGAATCCAAACCTACTAGAAAATCCTAGAATAATATAGCTGTTAAATGCAGTTAATTTATCAAGAAAATAAAATGCATAGAAATTATTATAAAAGAAAAACACTTTTAGCTCTTATGTTTTTAAATTTGGCCCTCAACCAAAATGAGTTGAACACCCTCATATTAGACGGATGGCATATGACCCCCACCCCCCACAAAGCCTTATGTTACTGCACAGTCGTAGTGAATGACGTGTTCCTCTGGTTGGAGACGGTGTGGCAGATGGAGTGTTCTTGCCGCAGACCTTTTGTTCCAGGTGAGCCCGCCGCAGCGACACCTTCTGCTCGTGCTTGTGCTGCTCGCGCTCGTGCTGGGCCTCGGTCTGCATCTTGATCTTGCTCTGGTAGGCGTTCAGCAGCTCCATCTCCTGCTGCAGCTGCTGCCGGAGCGCCTGGCACTCTGCTTCCTGGGCCTCGTCCAGACGCAGCTGAGCCACCGAGCCGGGCGCCATGAAAGGGACGTATACACGAGAGAGCAGGGGAGAGGGCGGGAGAGAGAGAGAACAAACACACAAACATAATAAGTCACATGTGAAAGAAGTGACATGGTACAGTCGTTTTGGGGCTGCACGATTTTGCCGAAATGTTGGCAAAATTTTTCTGATTAACATTACTATGCGGTTTACATACAATATTTTATAATTATATATTATAAGATATCATATAATTATTTTGTGCATGAAGTTATTTTACAGTTCAAACTATAATACAATCAGATTTGTTTGAAATACAGAACAAAATGACGAAATACTAGAGAATCTGTACGGAGATTTACCAAGGAGAAGTTTGTACAAGCCAAGGGGAAAAAAAAACATGAATGAAATAAGGCTAACGATGCTTGTTCCATTGGTGAATATTCACTGACGTAATCGAGTCAAATTGGACTAAAATCAGGATATGTCATCCTTAATTAGGAAAACTGCAAAAATGTATGTTCCTTGCAACAAAAAAGTGCTTTCATTTTAGTTTTTTTTTTTTGTTGCAAGAAACTTTAATTATGGAGTTTTTTTGGGGATTTACTGAATGCGTCCAAATGGCAATTTTGATTGGATTGTGATAGCCCTTGTGCAGCCCTTGTAGGTTAGAGATGGGGAATGGTGATTATTAAAAGACAACATAAGTTAAATATGTGCATGAATAGCATCAGTCAATACATTTTAACTATATAGAACAGCTCAAAAAAGCGTTTCAAACAGTTAATAGATGGATGTCTCTTCAGATGTGACTTTAACATGTTTGTCTAGTCGTGTGGGTCGATAAACATAATGACCATGGAGTTTTGAGTTTTAGTTTTCGGAATGACCGACTCGAGTGCTGACCTGAGAGCGACAGGAGGCAACGTGGATCTGGTCAAAGTAAAAACAGCATCTTAAAACCCAGTCAGGATTTTACGTGGACAAATTAAACATGTGATTTTTTTGTCCAAAGTGTGCCCTCTGGTGGCTGGGAGTTGCTTACCGCCTGAGAGGCCATCATCTCATTGATGCTCTGCTCATACTGTTCCGCCAGGATGGCCAGTTTGCGCGTCTGCTCGTCCTTCAGGGCCTTCAGAACTGTCTTGTGCTCGGATTTGGGCGTCACCTCCATCTGGTGGTGGCGGAGAGCCTTGTACTGCTTCGTCTGGACTTTACACGTGTCCTGGAACTGCTTCTTGATCTGCAGCTCCAAAGCCTTTTAAAACAAGCCGGTTGTGTGAGCATGGATGGTTTAGGGGAAAACAATCCTGCCTTTGTACAATGTGAATGTAACAAGGTAAAATGTGTTTAAAATTGTGTTAAAAGCCCTTCTAGTGACGGACATTACAAATTAGCCATGGCTATAAATATTATGTTTCACAAGTTGATTGTGTGAACATGTCCCTATCAAATAAATCAATACGTTAATTAAATAAGCCTGATGAATCACCACCAGCAGCAAGAATAAAGACCAAGAAGTGGAGGAGATAGTATATTATGAAAATCAACCATGTTTCAACATCATTCAAAACAGTTGTTTTTAAGATTCATCCACGCTAATTTCAGTAACTTCAGGCATAAACATGGAACTCCCCCTGCCCCTGTATGAGGTAATTGTACATCTATGACATTATTCTCAGTTGTGTATTTTAAAACAAAGAGTAGTGCAGTTAATTAGTTTTGGAAATTTCTCAGGTGACAAGACGATCTGTGTTTGCTGCTGGTAATTTCCAAATATGAAAATAAAGGGAAATCAACTCTGCCCTCTAGTGGTAGCACGGGGATAGGGCAGGCTTATAACATTGCTTACCTTTCATACAAATAATGTGTAATATTTCTTCTTTAAAACATGAAACCAACAAATACTAACAATCCTAAATCACCAACAGCAAATTCACACATTATTTAAAAATACTCTTATTATCCAGAGGAAAATCCATGTTCAATCGACGTCTCCTCTGCTGCACTTTTATGATTTATTTATTACAGTCATGTTGCATCACATTTTTACCAAAACTACTGTAAACACTGTTTTGTTAAGCTTCTGCAATCCTGAAGAGATTCATTTCAAACACATGCTCGGGGAATAAAGGAGCAATATCAATCTTTTCACTAATTTCATTAGCATTTTTCAATACAATCTTGATATGTTAGTCCCAATGCTTTTCAAAAAGTTTAAAACTTTTGTATATTCGGATTTCTACATCAGCTTTTGTTTTGAGGAGTCTCTGCCATGCAACAACAGTACTTCATTGTATAATAGAATTATTATTAGAGGTCGACAGATATGGATTAATGCATATTGATGGGAATAGAAGAAAAACATACAGTACCGGTTGTTACAGAGATATCTGATGTTTTATTTGCAAATTAATAGTCCATAGCTCATATTTTGAATCTCTTTCTTGTAGAATGGATTGATTTTTGAATGAAAATGACTCATATGTGAATAATAAAATGGAAAGAGATGAAAGACAATTATTCCAAAACTATGTTGGTCAACTGAGTCATTATGATAAATAAACAGCGATTGGATACAGAGTGTAGTGTAGTTGTAGTGATGTCATAATCAGCTGACTTTAACTTTTTCTTTCTGTTGCAAAAGCCTTTGCTGATATTGTGTTTTCAAGTGTTCTACTGAAGTCATCTCTTGTGGAACATCAAGAAATGTTGTCTCTTGAAAGTCATTGATGTGCATTACAAATAATGGCTTTGATTTTGACTTCAGTATAGAGTATAGAGTAGTGCTTTTCTTAATATTCACTTGTCTTGTGTGCTCCTCATTCTTACTGTTCTGTAACTTCTGATGCAACACTGACATTTCCCCACTGTGGGACGAACATTGGATCTCCTAATCCTAATCATCAACATGTGGACCATCACAATGGGCAGTAACCAGTGGGGGAGGATCCCGGCTCAAAAGTGGCCAAAATGACGTGCGCTGACATGCTTGCAATACCACCCCGGGCCGTTGGGGGTGGACCCAGAATAAGAATTAGCCAATGCTAACATATAGCATTGGCAGACCTCTCAAAAACGTCTTTACAGGATGGACCAAAAGTTGGCTCTTGGCCCAAATGCTGAGGGGGGTGGATTTTTTTGGTCCATTCTAGTTTACTCGCTGTGAATTTTTGAAGTCTCTCGTTCAAATGAATGGAGCTCTCGCCGGCTGACGCATGCGCAGATGCGTTTTTTCACAATTTTCTTGTGGGCGGGACCACTCGCGGCCATTTTGGATTGCTCCAGTAGAGCACATTTTTTGGCCCATTAGTTAGAACGGCGGAGATAGGCGTGACTCTGTCCGTTAATATATACAGTCTATGGTAGTAACAAGCTAATGTTGAGATTTATCTATATATTTATGTTTTTCTCTGTCATCCTATATCTGTGTCTGAGCATGTGCTCATTAGAAGTGAAATAGTATATATGTATAATATTTATATAGTTTAATAAACATACACAAGTTGTGCCATTACTGCATGTGAGAAGGTTAAATCTTAGATAACTGCACCTTGAGGTTTTTGGGCTGTTGCCGGAGCTCCAGCACGTGTTTGCGGTGCAGCTCTCTCTCACGGCGGTTGTTGTACTCGATCTGGTTCTCCAGCTCGGTCTGGTGCTGGAGCCGGATCAGGTCCATGCGCAGCTTCTGCAGCGTGCGGAGCTGCCTCTGCTCCAGCTCCTGCGTGGACTCGTCGTGACGGATCAGCATGGCGTGTTCCATCTCCTTCTGTGCTTTCTTCTTGTTCAGCTCCTGTCACAAAGTTTCACATCACAGCTATTAAGAACACACATGTACAGTGCAATTCAATATACTTCAGAAACAGCATTGAACATATTAAAGCTGGGGTCTCTAACTTCGAACATGTTGTTTGTCCCAGCAGAAAGAACCTTGTAAAAGAAAATTGTAGTTTGTCTCCATCTTATCACACAACAAATAATATTTCTTAGCACATTTATGAGTAAAGAGCCCTATGATTTTATGTTTTGGGCTGAGTCCGAGTGGTTCTCTATTTTTCACTTTTCTGACAGAAAAAGTTTATCTAAAGAAGTCGCAGAGAACACTAAAAAAAAAATTGTTCTGTCACTAGTTTTCAGAGCCAGGAAATAGTTCATGAATGTTATTACAATTTTCCATTTTTGTATTTTGAAAATTAGGTTCCCCAGCTTTAAGCATACAGCACAAAATACATTAACCAAACACACATATCTCAAAAGTAAAGACAATATTAGAAGAAAGCTGCATATGAAATACCCATGGAAAGTGTGTACAACATACACAAGTTATATTCAGGATTTTGCAAGATTATGTACTCCAGATTTGTATTAGGTTTACAATTAAATCTCTGGTAAATTGTTGCAAAGGGGGATTAGAACTCAAAATTTAAAACGTCAGAAAAATGTGGTTGCTGTATCAAATCTGCTTCTCTGTAGTGTGATGTCATCATTGAACTGAAATTTTCAACTTATTTTTCAACTTAAACTTCAAAAATTGGTTAATCTACCATTTAAACCTGGAATAATCCCATCAATGAAAGAAAATTAGAAAATCATAAAAACCTTATCCAGTCTTAAACACTTACAACTACATAAATCACTCTGTTATGCAGCAAACCAAGTCGTGCACATGATTCCGAGGTCATGAGCACGTTCTGACAGCTCTCACCGACAGGAATGAACCTAAGACCTTCAGAGAACAGGGACTTATCACAATGATCTGCTTTCCAGCTTAGGACATAGCTGCATTTCTTTTCTCAGTAATAATCGTCTTACAGTAAAAAACAAACACTCCCCAAATCAAGAAAAAACAATGGGGTAAATTGTGAGGGAATAAAGAGACAAGAAATACTGCATGACAGCATGGACCCAGGCAGCTCCCTCAGCCTCAAAGTGAATTGGATCATTATACAATCAAGCACTACAAATTATGGACAAGAAACCGACCCAATATCACCACTGCAATATACTCAAACTGAATATACTCTACTGAAACTTTATAATATTTTACTCTATAAAATTAAACATTGAAATGCATCAATAACCTGGCACCAGAGCCACCAAATTCATTTATACAGGGACAGACCAGCAACAGAGTCACCAAAAGTTCCTCACACAACAACTGTGCAATCCCACACAGGAGAACCACATTTGGTCAGTCCGCTTTCTGAATAAAAACGGCCAAACTGTGGAACTCGCTGCCCACTGACCTGATAAACATATTAGAATTTAAGGAGTTCACCTCAAAACTCAAGCTGTGGCTTAAAACAAACAGTATTTTGTGTGCGTGTGAGTTCTTGATTGTGATTGTGTATTGTCCGTATGGCTGTCATTGGTGGGGGGAATGTCTTAGCGTTCGATCACTGTTGTAAATATGTGTTTTAGGGCTAGGCCTATTTTATTCATTCTGTTTAATGTGTTGCGCTGTTGGGAAAAGCTCAACCAGGGGCAGGAGTTGAAAATTAGCATTAGCTACACACTGTTTGTGTCGCATCAGCTGCAACTTTCATAATGTAACTATGTGTGACTACATTGTCCCTGTCAAATAAAAATAAAATAAAAATAAAGCTTAGTTTGGTGAGAAAATATAGTTTTAAAAATGAAAAGGATATTGGACACGCAGAGGCGGCAGAGAAGGATTTTAAATGATTGAACTTATGTAATTTTTTCCTATATCTGTACTTTCAAATGTTTGACTTTTATAGCTAGCAATAGAAATAGTCATTATCTAATGTTTATATTTTTCTATAATATTTATTTTCATGTTTATTGTTTTATTAGCTTGTGTCTTTATTTTGTTTGTTTTTGTTTTTGTTGCATTTGATTTTGTTTCACACAAGGGAAGCATAGAAGGGGAAAAAGGAAAACATAAAATAAATGTGTTTTGTTATGCTGTATTATGGGAAAAAAGTGAACTAATGAAGATGACACAATAAAGTGATACATATTTATAAATCACATGTTTTAATTTTACTTTATATATTTTTAAAATTACGGTTCAGTAATCAGAACTCCTGTTTTTAGACTTAACTGTTTTACCAAGGTCTTCATGATTTTCTTTTGGGACAGTTTGACAGTTACACCTTATTTGCATATTTTGATGATTTTACACAATTAGTGGCGTTTGTTTATATTATGTCTGTATTTTTATTTAAGTTGTGTTTAGATTTTTATGAACCAAATTTGTTCAAAACTAAGAAATGCTCGTTATGGCAGTGATCAATTATTGTTATTATGAATTGTGTGTAATGTGTAGAACAATGTGTAGAATTGGATTAGCTTTAGAATGATGTATAGCATGCCATAGTCGCCCAGTTTAACATCTTACTGTGATCTGTTGATTGGTATTGGGACTGTGCAGAAGTATGGCCTTTTGTTGTGATGCTGATTGTGCTGATGCTGAGAGTGTCCAGTCTGTGTCTGAAAACACTGTGACAAACCTCCCTAAGGAGACAATAACATTTAACCTTGAACCTTACTGTCAACGTTTGCAAGTTTTGCACAATTTCAAAACTTACCCCCACATACCCCCTAGGGTTCTGTGTACCCCGGTCGGGTGTTTCATTTGGGGTTTTAAAAGCTGTGAGCCAATTTTCAACATTAGAACAAATAAAGGCTTGATATATATCTCACTGTGCCTGTAATGAAACTAAAATGTATTATCTTTTACATTCTGGGTTGAATGATGAAAGTGAATAGACTATGTCCTAAAGTAAAAGTATGATATCAAAGACGAGTAGTTATTAACTAATGGAAGTATTGTGCACCTCTCTGATCTGCTCTTGTTCTGAATCGTGCCTCTTCACCGTGACTCTCCTCTTGAATGCGCGGCAGTTGCGCTCGTAGAAGACCCTCTGCTGGCCCAGGAGGTGGGCCTCCTCCTCTGCCTGGGAATGCTGAAGATTCTCCTTGTGCTTCGACAATCGCTCCTGCTTCTCCTTTTTGGGTGTGCTGTGGTCCTCGCTCATCTCCTGGAGAGAAGGCCATTCAAATACCAAGTGTTAAAGAGGGCAGTAGTTTAAAGGTTTTGAAGAAAATGTAAACAATGACACGAAAAAAGAAAACTATTTAACTTTTTGGAAGTAAGGTCTACCAAGGGAGCCTGGCCTTAGCCATCCGTAAAGTCCGGTCAATTATCATTTTGTATAAGTCTGGGGTCTGATACGTACGGAGTAACGTACAGTATGTAATGCGTAACGGAGCTCAATGAAGTAAATCCAGACCTTAGTAAGAAATGAAATGAGTACGATGGTGTGGTAAGACCACGCTACCACCAAGGTCCTCGGGAAATATTTGTGTTTTGCAAATACATACTGTATATATCCCAATTGATTAAAAAGCAGATTACTAAAATATAGCTTTCCAGGCCATGCAATAAACCAGGGGTGTCAAACTCATTTTGGCTTTTTTTTTTTTATATTGTGAAAATATTATTGACAAATTACTTTTATTTGGCATGCGTTTGTATTTTTCTGAACCAAAAGTTCATGTACTTTTAGGATTGAACCAAAACTGGACCAAATACACAGAATGGATGTAATTTAAGACTGGTAGCTAAATATGAAAAACAAGCTAATTTAACCTCTAATTGCATGTTGGGTTCAAATTCAGTAGTTTATAGACGTTTTCCTGAGAAAAATTAGGTTACATTTTGGGAGGAGTTTGATATGCCTGCAATAACCTGTCCATAGAGATGATAAGGAGAAACCCCAATCAAAATGCTGTTTGTAGATTTGGAAACTTGGTTTTAAACTTCAGATGTTTCTGAGGTAAAGTACCATCCAATGAGCTTAACAATTATGTAAAACTTGATACACCAAATCTAAAGACATGAGCCAGTGATTATCTCCTGAAATAGATATCCCAAATTAGTTTACTTTTCTTGCATCTGAAAACAGTGCGGGGCAAACAGCCAGCCCACACGAGGCTCCGGAGGATGTGATATTCACTAACTAAAGCAGCTTCTGCTCCAGTGTGTAGGTACAAACAGTGGGCTGAATGACTCAGCACAACTTCCGACACTAAATTCTGCTCAGGGGTAACTAAATGTGCATGTTTGTGTGGAGGAAGGTGAAACCAGGCCCGTCAACACAAATCTGGGGGATCCAGGGCAAGTCATTTCACATGGGCCCCCCCTGGGTCTCCCCATACCCTACTGTATAGCCAGAATGAGGAGCAAATGGATAGCAAGTCTAAACTAGATTTTAGATAAATAAGGTAACAAAGAAACACGGAATAGATACAGGCGGACTGTTATTGTACAATTTTACAACAGCTGTGATTTATATAAGAAGACAAAGGCTACTGTTATGGACTCTATATCCTTTCTAACGAACGGAACCAGTGGATAGGGTTTGGGTTTGGGTTTCTCACAACATAATTATCCACTGCAATGAGTTGTATATGCGCCGTTAACAGTTATGGTAAGTAAACAACAGGAGGAGTGTGTGTGGCTAGGGAAGTCTGGTCCTCTCTGCTTCAACTGCAGGGAAAAAGTGGAACCAATTGATGGATTTTACGCTCTTCATAATATTATGGACAAAGGTGTCATTGGAATTCCATCCTCAACGTATGAAACATGTGTTCCATCAAAATGCCTATTCAAAAATTACAATAAAAACAGAGAAAAGTGAAATGCCACAACACCGACCCCGAGGACGGAGAAGGCTGGAGGTCACAAACATGGCCCACCTCTTTGATCTTCTCCTTGCAGAGCTTGTAATGTCTCTTTTGATTATCCAGAAAAGTGGTCAGTTCTTTCTTCTGTTGAGCAACGATCTGCTGCTGGAACTTCTTCTCATCCGTCACTGTTGTCTTTATCTATCAAAAAGCAAATCATTTACATACTACAGGTAAGTCACATAATATGTTACATTGGTTCACATGGATTCTCTGGCTTTAGAATAAATAATGTTGTTGATTGTGAGGTTCTGTTAAAATGCATCACCCTAAAATTGGGCTTCAGGGCTGAGATGATTAATTTTCAGACTCTCCCACTGGTCACCCATGCGGCTTTCACATCAAAATGGAGCTGAACAAGTTTTTCAAGTCTTGAGTTTTTGAATTTTCAATAAAATTCTAGTCCAAAAGTTTAAAAAAGCTCACTGCTTTAAGTTCATGTATCCTTTGCATGGATTTGCCAAAATCTCTTTGTGTTCCGCCCAAAGCAACATTTATTTCAAAGGCCCGCTTTACTGTATGTTGTGCAAATCCGTTCAAATGTTTGAAACATTCCTATTCTCGATGGGGCTTTTGGTTGAATGAAGGTAATCATTAAAAACATGTGTTATGAATCCCATTTAAACAAGTTATAGTTGGCTGGCAATGTGTTATGTAGCTGCTTAGACTGTTTATGGGGTTGGGCCGGCCGGGGTTCCCTCCCATCAGAACATACTTTTATTTTGATGTAAGTGGTTGTATGATTTTTTTGTATTACAATTTCTCTATTTCAGACTAAAAAAGAAAAAGGAAAACATATCTGACAAAGACACTGTGGCCAAAACGATGAATGTTTGACATTTGTTACTTGAGAGTGCAATGCTTTTTTTCGGCTTTTGATGACGTTTCCTGCATCTACACCTCAATAAGAGTTTTGTGGTTTGTGTTGCTTCCTTCTACAAGATTAATTTCAATTTCAATATATTTTGTGTGTGCTTTACATTTCCCCCATACCTTTGTTATACAAAACTGAACAAAACGTTGCAATTCAATTAAAATAAACTCGACCTTGATAAACTATATTTATCAAGGCTTTGAACAAGTTCACTTTTACCCCTTAATATTGGACAAATACCATGCATTTGTCTTGTATACCAGGGTTGATAATATAGCCCTAGGGCACATTCACACTAACTGGACTGGTTCACTTTAACTGGACCCAAGTCTGGTCCACTAGTGGAAAACCATCCCTCCAGTTAGCCCTGTAGCCCACCTCCTTCTCAGAGTGGCCGGCGTGGCGCTTGGCCAGCTTCTCCAGCTCGATGTAGGCGTTGTTGGCCTGCGTCTCCACCTCCTTCTGCAGTTTGAGTCGGTGCTCGTCCATCTCGGCCTTCAGCTTGTTCTCCAGCGCGATGAGCTGCTTCTGGTGCTGCCGCCTCATGCGCTTGTAGCCCGACATCTGTTCGCGGAGCTCGCTCTCCTGCTCGTGCTCATGGATCTGTTTAGTCACCTGTTGCACAAGGATTACAGTTACATTGTTTACTGTTAATATACAGAGGGAAACGCAGTAGAAAAGCCCATAGCCACAACAGTAATGGGGTAATAAAGTCACAAGGCCATATTAAATGAACAGAAATATATCATGATTAATTAAATTCTGTGGAACACTGGGAAATATTCCCAATTACAACTGACTGTAGGTCTGTGGAATGAGGTCCTATAAGTTACTCAGTTGGAATTACATGCTGGAAGAATAGCATTCCTCACCCCTGCTCTGTTCACAAATCCTATACTTTCCATTCTTATACTTTTTTCTTCTGTATTTATGACAGTTACAAAACACCACCATGTTGTTTTCAATAAATTAAAGCAACTCTCTTCTAAGGATGATGTTGAAAGGAAAGCAGCTCATATCTTGTAACAAACCAGACCTTTTGGGCGCATTCAACAAATGAGAAAATCTGAGAGCAACATTTAGAACTACAACTAGGAAGAACCTCCATATGAGACGACTGCTCTTTGAACAACTTAAATAAATAAATTCAAATAAAATTATCGAAAAGAAAAACAAAAGAAACAAATTGAGCGACATTTAAATCAAGTTTTAGTTGAACCTAATTTCAAGCGCATGGTAATATCATATACATATATATTTAGGTCACAACAGAAGACTCTGCGAAACGTGCTCCAAAAACACGGGACGTTTTGATCAGACAAACCTGAGCGAGGAAAGGGTTCTCCAGATCCAGGTAGTAATCGCTCGCCATCTTCTCATAACTCCCCCCCGAACTCTTTAGGCCAAACATGGTGGCAGGTTTATCCAAGAGCAGCACCATCCAGATACATGGCTCAGCATCCTATGGCTGAGTCAAACATGCCCAGGCTTCCAGTGGTCCCCCAGAGACCACCCCCCAGTGGGACCAGACCCCCCCCCCCCCCCACCTCAGCCTGGTAGAAGCACAGGCGAGCGTGTGAACTGTGAATGAGGCACGCAGAGCCAGCACAGAGGCGCTCTTCTGTGCGGCTAACGCTAAGCGGCGGACAGCAGGTGGGTCACATGAATACCTCATTGAGAAAGAGTGGGAGAAGTTGGAGCGTGGGGTTAGCAGGGAGCATGTGAGGAGGGGGCAATGGGTCCACACCAGAAACTGCAGATGGAGAAGAAAAATCAAATGCTCAAAGATACGGGAATGGCAAAAGAAGGAGGTCAAAGTCCCACTTTTTAATCCACGCTGAATCAATAGTCTCTCTTTGTTGCGTAGCTCTACACGGAGGCATGTGACGACTTTCAGCAGGACCCAGGATTCTGCTGCTGACCAAGAATGGACGAGACAATGACGCTTCTGAGAAAGGCTTTCTTTTAGATCCTGGCATTTTTATATTTTACATTATTTCATTTTTTTTTTGACAAGTTACTTTTCATTTTGGCGTTTGTTTGGATATTGTTTTCTTGTATATCTTTCCGATCCAAAGTTCATTTACTGTTTGGAAGAAACCAAAACTGGACCAAATGTAAAGAAGATGTAATTTGAGACTGACAGGCCTTTTTTTTTTTTGTAGATTGAACTATTTATCTTTTAATTACGTGTTGGGTTAAACATTTTGAATAAATTAAATGCTTAGTTGTTTTTTTATTGAGAAAATTAGCTTAACATTTTTCAGTAATACATTGTTGTTTCAGCAGGACTCAGGTTTTTGCTTGTGACCAAAAATGGACAAAGCAATGACGCTTCTGAGAAAGACTTTCTTGTCCCTTAAATATCCATCTTGTTGTTTACAGATTTAGGAAGTGAAAGCACATGTAAAACCCTTTAACAGAGGCATATGGGAAACTCATTCTCTCTCCTTTTCCTAAAGATGACCCGTGAAAGATGCCTGCAAACCAGTTTCTACCTTTGAACACGAGCAGAATCTCACTGATGTAGAAGTGCGGCCGTCCACAAGGAAAATAAAAATAAAAATAAAAATATATAGAACAAGGCTTGCGTACAAACAACACCCTAACAATATTACACCAATAAGACCACGGCTATCTACATACCTTTCCACACCAAAACCCTACACACACCACCCCTATTAACCCCCCCTCACCCCACACCAACACCCCACAACACCTACAAAACCTACCCTAACCCCCCCCTCCCCCCCACCCACAAAAAACCACTACCCATAACCACATTTCACCCCTATCCCTCACCCCATAAACATCCCACCAACCTCCCTCCCCCTTTTTCCTCCATCTCCCCCAACTCACTTATCCCTCCCCTCCCTCCTCCATCTTCCATCTATCTTTCTCCCCCTCATCCTACCCCCAAATTCACATAAAACCCAAACACTAAATAAACCAATAAATCTACCCTCCAACACCCCACTCCATATATATAACTTTAACCCCCCCACACACCCATTCCCCATATACCCACACCCGCCCCCCCCTAATCCCATAACCCCCAAATATTTTTATTCTAAAAACCCCCCCCCCCCCCCCCCCCCCCCCCCCCCCCCCCCCCCCCCCCCCCCCCCCCCCCCCCCCCCCAACCCCCCCCCCCCCCCCCCTATTTATACACACAACAACACACAACAATTATCCATTCCCTCACTACAACCCATTTACTATCCATCACCTCCATATAGCTCTCTAAATCGGTCGAAGGTATCTCTCTTCACCTCTTTCCTGTCTATAGGTGTCATCAGTAGCCTGACAGAGATATCAAATTACCCATACCCCCAACTCTCCCCAGATGTCCCCGCCTACCCTCCACCCTCCATACATCTATACTCCATTATTTATAAGATCCCCTGGCCCACTCATTAAAATATTCCTTAACACTTATTATCTGCTAATTTCGGCGCCCAGATACCTTGGTTATAATTATGATAAATCCCTGATTCGTTCCCATTCACCACTAGTACCAACTATTACCAAGAGACAATAACATTATGCTCCCCCTCCCCATAACTTAACAATCCGACCACTAAAAACACCATCAAAAGCAAACGAATTCTACCCCTCCTATTCCTAAACCCACATAAACCCTAATACTCACCCCCCCCCCCTTTCCCCCCCCCCCCCCCCCCTCCCCCCCCCCCCGTCCCCAACCCCCACCCTGACCTGCTGGCCGTGATGCTAGGTGACTTAAGCATGGACGATACTTCATGGTGTTGGTCTCTGGTGCGTTGTTCCATTTTTTGCGTGCGTAGGTTATGGCAGGAGTTCTCACCGCCTCTGTGGGCCCATCCAAGTAGGGGCAAACGATGTTTGCGGGGCAGCTTGCGTCAGGGGATTGATTGCTGTTGTGAGTTTAGAGGTGACATCAATGTCAATATCAAATCGAGTTTTATAACTTGATACGGCTGTGATATCCACGTATAGGCACTGAGGAATCGTTTCAGATACGTGGTCTTTGCGCTAAGTGTCAGGGGGGCGTCTTAGCATGTGCAAGTAAGAGGCATGCTTGTGCGAGTGGTTTCCATGTCGTAATAAGAGACTCTGACCATGAGTGGAGGCATGCATTACGTAGGCATGTGATGCCTTTAGGGCCAGCCTCAAGGAGGAGGTGGAAGAGGAACCAGGAGACGATGCCTCGCAGACGCGCTCTATGACTTTCATCATGAATTATGTGAGAAGCGACAATTGATGAGTTCTGGAGGACGAGGGCATGTCCAGTCTGTTAATTCTCATCGACCTCATACAGAGCAGCAGAACAACCGAAAGCCACGAAGCCGAGCCACTAAAACAAGTTCCAGCAGAGGAGACAGCTGAACCTCAAGTGGGAGCCCAATGATTCAATGGACAGACCAACAATCCATGAGTAGTCCGGGCTCTGGACATTGTAAAGTTCTCAGATGTTGCCTGCTTTACTTCCCCGACGAGCTTTTAAAGTTCCCCGTGGACAAATCTCTGCCATAGGTCAGACGTCAGCTACTGGTGCACAATTGCCAAACATCTATGCTGAAGGAATAGCTGAAAACTTTCACTGCACCACGATAAAATCCGTGCTTATACATCCAACACCCCCCCTTATCCACCCTCCAATTATATCCCCCACCCCATATCCCACACTAATACTCCATCGCCAACCTCTCAACCACCTCCCCCCCTCCCACCTCCCGCTCTAATCTCCTATAACAATAAATTGCTCACCCGACTGTCCCTCCTCATCACTATCCCCCCCCCCCCCCTTACTTACACTCAACATTTCACCCCCCTCTATAATAAAAAACCAACCCCTCCACAACATCTCCTTCCAAACCCCTACATCACCCCCACACTACATGCCCCTAGTGTGTGATCATCCTACACAGCTGCCCCCTCGATGGTCCCAATGCGATGCTCTAGCCAAGACTAGTATGCTACAGTTGTAGGGTACTGTATGGCAGATCATTCCACTCTACCATCCCTATACTTCCTATTACACTCCTCATTTTCACTAACCCAACATCTTACGTATAGCAATCTCACCCTACCTTATATCCTTATCTTTATCTCCTACTCTCTCTCCCTCACCCTCCACTTACCCCCCCATCCGTACCCCCTTATCTTTCCCCCCAACCCCCCCCCCCCCTCTCCCCCTCCCCCCCCCCCCCCCCCCCCCCCCCCCCCCCCCCCCCCCCCCCCCCCCCCCCCCCCCCCCCCCCCCCCCCCCCCCCCCCCCCCCACCCCCCCCCCCCCCCCCCATATTCAATTCTCCTCCCCATTATCCCCCTCCCCCCAATACCTCCCTCCTACCTACTTATCACCTCTCCTACTCCCTTCCCCCCTCCTCTTATCCCCCTGCCCCAGCGCCCGACCGCCTAGTCCCATCCATCTATCTTGCCTTACCAGGTTGGGTTCAGTCATTCGACTTACACACACACCTTTGCACACTAGCTATTTCCCCCCATTCACGTCCAACCCCCACAAACAAAAAATAACAAAACAACACACACACAAACAAACACAACAAAAAAAATAAAAAAACACCCCCCCCCCCACACATTAACCCCAAAAAAAAAATAACCCAAAAACTCAAAAAATAAAAAAAAAAATATAAAAAAATACAAATAAAACAAACAAAAAAAATCAAAAAAAAAAAGTAACCCCCCCCCCCCCCCCCAAAAATAATAGAAAAAAATTTATATATATATAAAAAAAAAAAAAAATATTATATATTATTAATATTATTATATTCCTATTATTAATATAATATTATAAATTATAAATGTTTTATTAATTATATATATTATGTTAATTTATTTTATATATATTTTTTATGCCTTTAATTTAAGACCCCCCCCCCCCCCCCCCCCCCCCCCCCCCCCCCCCCCCCCCCATCACCCCCCCCCCCCCCCCCCCCCCCCCCCCCCCCCCCCCCCCCCCCCCCCCCCCCCCCCCTTATATATATTATGTTGACGTGCTGAAGTATGTATTTGCGTGCTAGATCCTAGGCTCCCACCCCCCCCCCGAATAGTCAGATTACTTACCGATACGACGTATGTCGTGTGTTGTTGTTAATCGGGTAGTTTGTCCAGCTGCCATATGTGGGACTAGTATATGTTGCTCGGTGATGCTTCTGTCTTTATGAGTTGTGTACTTATTATGGAGGCACGTCAGAGCGCTGTTGTTTGGTGCGACTTGAGTTCATTGATAAATCGAAGACGTTTTTCGGAGATTATTGTCGTGAGATTGGTCACGATTGATTGTTAGGACTGCCACAGTGTGTCAGATGGTTGACTCCGAACACCCAGCCCAGGTGACGGGGTCTACTCACCGTATGGTTAATTTGACAGGCAACCTGTGAATGAAACAACGAGTTTTTCCCGAGTCCACTCTACGTGTTGGAGATATAACTCCTAAGAGAGACGTCGGGAAAGCTTAGAGTTAAGCTCACGTAAACTTTGATTGTTGTAGAAGAGATGCTGATTCACGATTGGGATTAGTGGTAGTGTACTGGTTTATATGGTGTTCTGCGACAGATGCCGATGTGCGTGCTGTAGAGATGCTTGGCACATAGTAACTGCCGTTAGATATGGTGACCAAGGAAATCTTGGGCTAATAAGATCTGTCCTTCGACGATCTTTTTGGACTGATAGATGTTATTTGCGTTCTTTGTAGGATTGTTGACGAGGGCAGGTCTAGATGGGTAGTGTTGTACCTATTTTTGGGGTGGGGGCGTAGTGTTGTTTTAATTGTTGTTGGGGAATGGACGTTCGTTTGGATGAAGTGGTTTGGCAGTATCTGGTGCGTGGTAGATGAATCAATTAGGGTCGTGAGTCTGACCTGGTTGAAGAAGCCCTTAAGGTCCCGGTTTTAAGACAGTCCGGACTTCGTTAATGTGACTTGCTTTCGGTCTTCAAATGGATAACGAAGAGATAATTCTTGAAGTGCTTGAAAGATCAGTAGGTGTTAACTGGATGTGATTTTACTAGCCGATAGCATTAAAATTACAGAAGGACACACAGCAGAGGCCTATTAGTATCTGTGTATACGATGGATATTCAGATCGAGGATGGGAACCTGATAAATGGCTACTGTCATGAGTGGGGGAAAAAAAGGGGTGATGATTTCATAGTGGCGCAGACTGGTGATGATAATAGGTGTACTAGTAAGTGTAGAACCACTGTGTGGACACAGTCTTATTTGACCTACATGGAACCAGCCAGTGCCAGACGTTTTACTAGTTGTTTCCTGTCTTGTAGGTTAATTGGTACCTGAGGTAGGGCATCAAAGCTATTAGTATACAGTCCGTACCCCCCAGTAAGCAAGACATTTTTCTGCCAGCAAGACATTTATGTTGGTCCCCTGAGGAGATTACAGATTGCAGGCCAGTAAAAGGATGGTTAGTCTGAAGACATGTGGACCTGGCATGTGCAGCTCAGGTGAAATCAATCGGCGACATAGAAAGCAGTACGTAGACGAGTCTAAAGCAAGGGGAACCGTTGGCATCCCCCTGTTAAAGTTAGAGCGACACTGGATCCAGCACCGCAGAGGTTAGTGCGTCCACATGCTTTATGTAGGGAATCAGACATGTTTAATTAAGAAGGGACGACATAGGTTTGTATCCCCAGGAGCTACAGTTAAAGTAATAGTAACCTACCAGACATTCAGATTCTGTCCCTCGACGATCTTTTACCTGATAATCCTCTTAGAGTTACAGCAGCTAATGGGACTAATGTACCGTTTGATGGATGGGTTGAACTGCTTGTTGAAATCAAAAGTCCTGACCATGGTGAAGTAGGCCATTAAGGTACCGGTTTTAGTCAGTCAGAGCTGCGTTAGTGGACTTCTTTTAGGCTTCAATGTAATCGAGGAGATAATCTTGGAAAGTCTTGAAAGACCAGGTAGTGTTAACTTGAGTGATTTACTAGCCGAAGCATTAAAATTACAGAGACACACAGCAGAGACTATAGTATCTGTGATAAGAGGGAATACAGACAGAGACAACCTGATAAATGGTACTGTCAGAGTGGGAAAAAAAGGGGTGACTATTCATAGTGGCCAGACTGGTGAGATAAGGTGTCACATAAAGTGTAGACCACTGTGTGACACAGTCTTATTTGAACCTACATTGGAACCAGCCATGCCAGAAGGTTTACAGTTGTTTCCTGCTTTAGTTAATGCACCTCATAGGGCATCCAAAGCTATTAGTATACCAGTCAGTAACCAAAGTAAGCATGACATTTTTCTGCCAGCAAGAATTATGTTGGGTCACATTGAGGAGATTACAGAGTGCAGGCCAGTAAAAATTGGTTCAGCTGTAGACATGGGGACCTGTGCATGTGCAGCTCAGGTGAATTCAACTAGCGACATAGAAGCCAGTACAGAACAGTCTAATGCCAAGGAAAAGTGGCATCCCCCTGTTAACTTAGAGCACCTGGATCCAGAACAGCAGAGGTTAGTGCGTCAAATGCTTTATGAGGAATCAGACATCTTTATTAAGGGGGAAGGGGACATAGGTTTGATCCCAGAGCTACAGTTAAAGATTAGTTTAGTGGATAAGATCCCAGTCCAGAAATCCTACAACTCCATCCCTAAACCTCTATATAAAGAAGTAAAGGATTATGTACAAAATCTTCTGGACCGAGGATGGATTCGCAAGTCAACATCTTCCTACTCTTCACCAGTAGTGTGCGTGCGGAAGAAAGACCAAAGTCTTCGGCTCTGTGTTGATTTCAGAGGACTTAACAAAAAGACTATTGCAGATCGACACCCATTACCTCGCATACAGGACTTATTGGACAGTTTGGGTGGTCACTCATGGTTCTCCATCTTAGATCAAGGGAGTGCATATCACCAAGGATTTGTCAGTGAAGAGTCTCGTCACCTCACAGCTTTCAGCACTCCGTGGGGACTTTATGAATGGATAAGAATACCATTCGGACTGACAAACGCACCTGCAGCATTTCAGAGATGTATTGAGGGAGTGCTGGAGGGTGTTCGTGACGAATGCTGTGCTCCATATCTCGACGATGTCTTGTGCTACTCAAAGACATTTGAGGACCATGTAAATCAACTAAAACAAGTTCTGTGGCGCATGAGAGAACATGGAATCAAGTTGAGACCCGCTAAATGTGAAATGTTCAAAAGAGAGGTTCGTTATCTTGGACGCTTAGTGTCTGGAGACGGAGTTAAGATGGACCCACAGGACTTGAATGCTGTCTTGGCACTTAGAGACAGAGAGCCACAAACTGTAGGGGATGTCAAGTCACTCTTAGGCTTCCTAGGTTACTATCGCTCCTTCATCCAAGATTTTTCCCGTGTAGCCAAACCACTATTTGAGTTGCTGCAAAAATCGAACCCAGACACGAATCATAGTCAGAACAAGACACAAACAATGAAAGGTAAATACAGGAATGGAGATAAGGGACAGTTACCTTCTAAAACACACATAACATGGACCGAAGAACACAAAAGGGTGGTAGCTAAACTTATAGAGATTTTGGTAAATCCCCCCGTCCTTGCTTACCCAAACTTTGACCTTCCATTCATTCTTCATACCGATGCGTCTAATGAAGGGTTAGGTGCAGTATTATACCAAAGGCAGAACAGCAAACTTTGTGTTATTGGTTATGGGTCAAGAACGTTAACACCGGCTGAGAGAAATTACCATCTTCACTCAGGCAAACTCGAGTTTTTGGCGTTAAAGTGGGCCATATGTGACAAATTTAGAGATTATCTGTATTATGCACCCACATTTACAGTCTATACAGATAACAATCCTCTAACATATGTTCTTAGCACTGCAAGACTTAACGCTGTGGGGCACAGATGGGTGGGAGAGTTAGCGGATTTTCATTTTGATGTGAAATACAGGCCAGGAAAAATGAATAGTGATGCTGACACATTGTCCCGTTACCCTTTAGAACTACAGAAAAGTATGAATGACCACATAGGCAGCATCCCAGCAGACATGGTGACAGCGGTGTGGCAAGGCAGCAAAGCAGTTCAAGAAGACAACGTGCCTTCAGCCGCAGCTCTACAAGTGGATGATACCTACACCGGCACCGAGTCACAAGGGAATGTGCAAGGCTTCGAACCAGTCGATTTGGAAAACGCACAACAAGAGGACATGGCAATAAAAGAAGTTGTGTTTTTGAAAAAGAACAACTGGATTCCAAATGAGAAAGACAGAAAAAACATGACAAAAGAGACAAGGAGATTGCTTTACGAATGGACAAAGCTAGAAGTGGAGAATGGAAT